AGTGATGCCTTGAGAAGGCTGACTTAGAACAGAGGCTAGACAGAGTTAAAGAATAAAGTAGGTATTAATTAAAAGGCCTTAATGGATACAACTCGGGCAGTACAAGAGCCTGGCCAGGGCTACACCAAAGATGAACCAAAATGGTCATGGGGTCTGACACTTTTATAAGATTTGGTCCATTTGCATATTGGAATTAATTGTCCAGTTATAACTTTAGGTTATAAAGTTCCATCCTTTTTATTTTTCTCTCCAATTCACTGTTGTTTATACTTTTTGGACCTGGAGGTTGTAATACTTGTCCTTGGACAAGCTGGAAAGGGATTGTTTTGTCTACCTTCTCTGTGAAGAGAACTTGCTAACACTTAATATGAAGCTCAGAGTTACACACTAAAGCAGCACAGAATCTGAAAAGTACGAAAGCTAAAACTTAAGGCATCCCCAGTTGTGTGTAAGAGTGCTGTCCATTAGAGGTGATAATACAGGCCTGAGTTATTAATGCAGATGCAGGGGTGCTGTCCTGCCCTCGCGAATAGATTCATGCTGGCCTGGCTGCAGCATCTTAGACAGTAAGACCCTCCAAGTGTGTCTATTCCAAGTACCCACTTACCTGGTTGCCTCTGTTTTCCTGAAGGGGAGAAGTAGCATCATCCGGTAAAGTGCTCACATTTCTTCTTTTAAGCATCTGGTCATCTTTCTTAGCTTTCCTCAGCTCCACATTGACTTCGATGCGCCGCCTTCTCATCTCCTGGAGGATAAACACTCAGAGTAAGTTCTGGGCTTTCAAAACTTAGATTTAAAGAGACAATGACTGGCTAAAGTACTAATTGCACCAGAGTACTCACTGTGCTATCCTTTCCTTTGTTCTTGAATCTGTTTAATCGAGCTGAGGGTGTATTAGCATTCTCATTTGTAGACATCTTGCTTGTTAGATTTTCGAGCGGGACAGATAAAAACAAGCCTGAAAACAGAGCGAAGGAAAATTTACTCCAAAAAGTTAAATTTAAAAAATTGGATCCATACTCAAGAATGATAGGCACTTGTTGGCATTAATACTATAAAAACATCTGACTTGTTCAACCGCTGTCTCTTTAAACAGCCAGATGTTACAACGAACTCTAGCATCAACACAAAGGCAGAAGACACAGTCACACGATTTTGAGACACTTTAAACCAAATACTACTAGTTATTATTTTCAGGAGCAGCATAGATTTTCCTTTCTACAGACAACACACACACACGCTGTTAAATACTATTTTCACTATCATGCACCTGTGCTGCACAGGATCCCACCTAGCCCCACCCCGACCTTTTTGGGAATGGGAAGAACCCCGGGGGGCGTTTGCCGTGCGGGTGCAGCCAGCCGCACATAACAACGGCTACACGAGTAACGAAGAAAACCCTTACGGCTCAGCCACCCCCAGCATAAGAACCGTCTTGGCTTCCCTTCAGCCATAGCCGCGCCGGAGAGTCAACCCGCGCTGGGATACACCAGCCCTATCAGCCCCAGTGCAGACAGCGAGACGCGGGAGGCTCCGGAGAGAGGCCCCGGCAGAATTGTAGGCATAACACGGCTCTTTCCAAAAGGGCAGCCCAGGGCCCGCACCCCAGACCCGGGCACGGGCCCGACCCCCGCACCTCGGCCGGAGACGCCGCAGCCGCTCCGCTGCTGCCGCACGCTGCCACTGCCCACGGCCGCCCCACGCGGCATTTAAATTTCCCGCGGCCGCGCCCTGCCATTGGCCAGTTCGAGCCAAAGCAGCCTTCTGATTGGCCGGTTTGAAAGCAGCCCGGCTCGCCATGACGGGGAATGCCCTCCCGGAAGAGCCGGTCGGACGTGACGTCTTCACAAAGCCCGGTACTACAGCTCCCGGCGTGCCTCGCGCAGGCAGCGCCAGCAAGCCCCTGTGGGGCGGCGCGGGGCACGCCGGGAGCTGTAGTGCACGGGGCCGGGCTCGGTGATACCCGGGACGGGAGCGGGGATCGGAGCCAGGGCTGAATTGTATCGCGGAGGGGCCGCGCTCTGGGCGGGTCGGGCGGAGCAGCCTTTCCCTCACGCAGAGCCCGAGTCTGCATCAGTAACCAGCGCGGCACCGCAGGCTTCCCCGGGACAAGGGCGGGTAGTGACAGGACGAGGAGGTGAATGGTTTCAAACTGAACGAGAGTGGGTTTGGATGGGATATTGGGAAAAATCCTTCCCTGTAAGGGTGGTGAGGCCCTTCTCAGGTTCCCAGAGAAGCTATGGCTGCCCCATCCCTGAAGTGTCCAAGGCCAGGCTGGATGGGGCTCCAAGCAGCTTGGGGTAACGGAGGGTGTCTGCCCATGGCAGGGAGTGGAACTGGATCAGCTTTAAGGTCCCTTCCAACCCAAACCATTCCGTGATCCCATGGTTCCATGTGTCACTTATTGTCTCCAAGAAATGTGGTGCACAGAAATGCAAAGAAAAGGGGATATGAGATTGCAGCTGAAAGCAGTTCTACAGCCATCAGGGCAGATGAAAACCTAATCATACGGAATAACAAAAGCAAAGGATTCCTGCTCCTGTGGTATGGCCTGAAAAGGGATGAGATTGATTCCAATGGTTTTGGCCTGCTCATGAGGGATGGAACACAAAAGAACATTGATTTTCACAGGATATCTTCAAGCCAAAGAACTGTAGGGAAAACACAACCCTGACAGCAACTCTGACATTTTGAGACACCTGTAAGGTATAACACAGAGAAGTGTCAGGCATGTACATCGATATGCCTGTGTGCTAAGCCATCACATTAAACCACTTATACCAATCTCTAGGCACACATAGGTGTGGAGGCTGTTTGCTGAGGAGGAGGAATTGCCAGTGACATCTCATATAGCTGGTTTTCGGCCTTACAGTGCTGAGCTTCGTAAAAAACACCTACAAGAGCAGGGAAGCCAGGAGAAGGCACATTGCTAACAAATGGAGATATTAAACAGCAGTAGTTTGACAAAGGAAAAAAAAAGCAGTTCAAAAGCAGAAATAGAGGTAAAACACCTGCTTTCCTGAAGGATTGAAAGGTTGGTGCGAAGAAATTCCATCGCTGGCAGTGCATGGTGTGGAGCAGTTAAATCTGGGCACAGGGATCGGTGTTGAGGGCACGGAGAGGGCTGGCAGTGCCCGAGATGCCCGAGGGGGTGTTGAGCTGCGAGGGAGCGACAGAGAGGTGGGGGGAGACTGGGCAGCTGGGGCAGAACAGCGGCCAAGCTGCGGGTGAGGTTATGGGGCAGCGGAAGGTGTGTGCGAGGCGGGCAAAAGGGCCGTGAGGGGTCACAGGGCCCTGAGCGGGGGTGTTCGCTGAGAAGGCCGAGTGTGGAGCCGCTGGGACTGGATGGAGTTACCGGCAGCAGCACAGGAGGCAGGACCGGGCCCGTGAGGGGAAGTTGAAAGACACGGGACAGCAGGGCGGCGGTGGCCAGGGGTCCCGGGACAGCGGGGCGGCCCCGGGCGGGTCCCCTCAGACCGGGGCGCGCTCGGGCCGAGGGGGGAACCCGTTCTGAGGCGCGGGCGGGGCCGCGGGCACGCGCTGCGGGGCGGGGCCTGAGGGCACCGCGACCAATGGCGTGCGGGGGCGGGGCCAGCCCGCCGCGAGCGGGGAGAACGCGAGAACCCGCAGGGGGCGGGGCCGGGGCCGGCCGGGCGGGGCTCTTACCAGGCGGCGCGCGCAGAGTGTGCCGGGTGACCCAGTGGCCTAATGGATAAGGCATCAGCCTCCGGAGCTGGGGATTGTGGGTTCGAGTCCCATCTGGGTCGTGCCGCGTTCATTTTGTGCCGCTGCCGCGGGTCGCTCCGTGCGCCCCCCATGTCCGGGACCCCCGACTCTTTTACCGGCGGTGCCCCGGCCCGGTCCCGCTCTGCCCGCGCTCCGCGTCCCGCCGGGGGCAGCTGCGCTTCCTGCGGAGATCCCGCGCGTGGGTCCCGCTCCCCTCCAGAGAGCAGCAGCCGGGAGCGCCGGGCGGGGATGTGGCCGCGGCGCTTTGGTCCCGGTTTTGCCCAGCGCTGCTGGAAAAGCTTTTCCATCTCCGCTGCTCGGGCGCCCCGGGGCTGCTGGAATGCCGGGAGTGCTCCAAACACCACTGCTGTGCTCTTAATGGAGATCCTGTCCAAGTAAAGTCTGGGGAAAGAGTGCAGACACAGCCGTACATGAATGAGGGTTGAATTGCACCACCAGCTAATTCAACAGAAAAATCCTTGGACTACAGGTCTGTGGCATGCTCACGTGTGTGTATATCCATCCATCCATCCATCCATCCATCCATCCATCCATCCATCCATCCATCCATCCATCCATCCATCCATCCATCCATCCATCCATCCACCTCCCTCCCCAGTGCCAGCACTCACACTCCAGCTTCTGCTTGCTGCAGGTACCTGCTGCTCACCAAAGCAATGGAGGAGCCCTCCTCTCCTTCATCCTCAGTTTACATTCCTATTCCCGTAATAGCTATCTTGGGATAGTTCTGGAATTAAAATGTTTCAAATAACAGAGGGAAACAGGGATTAGTAAGTGCTGCAGTAGAAAATTTTGAGTAATATATGTGGTGAAATGTCTTTTATTTTCCACACTGTCCTGTTGAATTTTCTGTATGTTTGCCCATGGCTGCTGAAGACAAAGCCCTGAGCTTTTGGGAATCCTATTGAAATGCTTAATTAAGGCAGGACAAAACAAACTGCTTAAACTAAGCAACACTGAATCCCATGCCACAGGCATTGCTGAGGGTTAGATTTTCTGTCAAGAGTGGGTTTCAGGAGCCTTTCAGTGCCTTTATGTAGTTTTAAATTGTTGGTTGTCCCTTAAAGTCATGAACAGCTTCCACAGCACCCAGCAGCAGCTGGTGAGTTAAACTGTCACAATAGAAATCTTGTGTTGCAATAAGGTCACTTAGAAATAAGCCTTCTTAATTCAGTAATCCAAATCAGGGCTTGCTTGGTGTGTGAAAATTTGCAGAGTTCTTGATGATGGCAAAGAGAGATTTAAAAATAAAGCTGTGTGGGATCAGCAGAGCTTTCCCTTGGACTAGACAGTCACAACTGCATTTTTCAGTCTGAAAAGAATCACTGAAACTGGTTCCTGAAACTAAAAGAGGAGATTAGCAGCTGTATCACTGGAGGTGACCAGAAATCCCCAGATATGTTCCATTGTCATGCATATCCTTTACAGACCCTCTATCCCCGGGTCTGGTGTATTTCAGCAGCTCCCAGTTCCCCCCCAGAACACAGCTCTCCATAGTCAGCAAAACCAGCCTTGTTCCCTATGATTTTTTCCCTACAGAATGCCATAGGAGGGCAAGACTCTCCCCAAAATAAAAATCTGCTGCCAGAACCACGTGTGGGTGTGTATTCCCAGGACTCAGGTGATGCAGCCAGGGGCTTGTTCCCGATGGGAAGGAGCACATTCCTCCCCGGCAGGGCTGGTGGAGGCAGCAGCTTGGTCTTGCTCCAGTGGGTTGTCCAGCGAGTGATTCCCGTTTCCCCTCAGGCTGCCTCTCATTAGCATGGATCGGGGGAAGGGCATAAAAGACTCCAGCTCATTTTGAGTCTGGAAAAACTTTTCTTCAAAATGACAACCCAAGTGTTCTGGCTCCTCTGCTTTGTCATTAGATCATCTTCTGGTAAGTCTGTTACCTTCGGAGCGGGGCTGGGGCAGGTCTGCCTCGGGAAGCAGGGGAGGCTAAGGACTTTCCTACAAACCCTTGCCCGGGCAGCCCCCAGCCTGCAGCCTTTTCAGCAAGTGAGGGCTCAGGAAAGAAACATTTCAACATGTTTGTGCAATGGGAATGTAGATTGCAATATTTAATTTGCCAGCATTGGGAATAATTCAGAGCACCTGGCAGAAGCAGGCAGGGAGCTGGTGCTCTGTCCTGCCAGCCACCAGTGGCAGGTGAAGTTGGATTTGCTTCTACATCTGGGATTTTTATAATTTGTATGTGACCTTTCTCTTTCAGTCCTCATCACCTGTAACTCCAGATGTGTGACTGACTTTAACATGTTCAGTGCATGTTAAATGTGTCCCTGCAGCAAGCTGTCCTGAATGGATTTATTTGGGTTTTAGTGCCTCACTGACAGAACAGAAATAGCATTTACATCTGTTCCACTGAGATTTTGTTATGTTGCAGTCATGTTTCTTAGGTTGCAACAACTAGACAGGAATATCTTGGTACGGGAGGAGGAACCTCAAGGTCCTGAGCAGATTGAGTAGAGAAAAATGAACTATTTCTTGATACAATCCGTGACTGAGAAGGCGTGATAAAGTGGTAGAAGAGTTTATTTGCACACTCAAGTCTGAGACACCTGTTCAGAGGGCACAGCTTCACACTGAACCATCTCCAAACCCCCCTTGCCTGCTGCTTTCGGCAGCTTGGACTTCTTCCACTCCTCTCTCCATGGACATTCTTTTGACTTTACGTGTGGCCAGCCCAAATATCAGGGAATCTTTCCCATGACAGCAGCTGGTGAGAGCACAGGGGGAGAAGTGGCAAGGTCAGCAGTTGAGTCAGTTATAGGAGATAAACCAGGACGTTGTTCATCTGTGTATGTCAAATCTCTCTTTTCACACAAGGAGCTGGATCAGCCTCCTACACAGAATAACCACGGCCGTGAACACCAGACAGAGGCTGTGTGTGGGTGAGCTGTGTGAAAACTCTGCTGGCTCACTCCAAGCCTGCAGGGAAGGTCTAAAGGAAAAGGAAAATACACTGGCAGGGGAAGTTTCTCTCCTGCTGGGCTAAACATTTTGGTAATTTTTCTTTGTGAGGTTCAAGAGATCAAGGTGAAGGTATAAATGAAAGTGTAGGTGATTGCCCAGCTTCTGCGAACAGTGCCATTAAGTTATTTTTTCCCTGGACTCCCAGGCACTTCCTCTCTTTCTCAAATATCCTCTCAAATTAAGCAAAGCCCTGAAATAATTATTACTCAGCAGCACTAGCCTAATTACTGCTACTACATGCTCAAGTCAGAGATCCAAAATTGTGGGTAAAGACCTTTCCAGTAGCATCCAAAGCTACTGAAGTCTGGATGACATTGTCAACAGGCATCCCATGGATGGGAAAACCAAATAGTTCTGCTGTCATGGTCTCTTAAACAAGCATCCCAAATGGCAACGTGAACCTTGTTTCCTCAGATGCTCCCTGGAGATTCAGGGGTTTGAGAAAAGGGTTTGTTTTTAATTTGAAACAATAATAAAGTAAAAATGCAAATCTCCTGTTTTGCTCACACAGCTGCATTCCCTGTACGGGACCATCAATATCTGAGTAGAGGAACGAGGAGCTCTAATGTGCTTTATCTATTGAGCTATTTATTAGTTTTATGTCTTATTGTTGAAGGCCTCACTTATGGATTAGAGCCTCAAATCTTCCCGTTCTGAAACATTTGGAATGAAAGACTTAAAAACACTGATTTTCTCTCTCTTTTTTTTTTTGCCTGTAGGATCCCTGCTTTATGCTGAGAAACCCGGCCAGGCTCTCAGCAAAGATGTTTTTGGCTCAGCAGCCGCTGCTGACGTTCAGGTGAAAGCGGCAGGGCGGGGCACGGGCAGTGCCAGCGGGAATGCCAGGGAAACGGGAATGGCCCCGGGAATGCCCTCCCTCGCCTCCGACAAGAAGAAACGCGCGGAGCCTTCCCTGGAGAACAGCACGGGGCCGAGGAAGCGCCTCGGGCAGCGCGGAGCGCTCCCGGGCCCGGGCAGCCCCAACCGGGGGCGCTCGGAGCGGGGCCGGGCCGGGGCTGCCAACAGCGTGGGCGGCCGAGCCCTGCGCGATGCCGCCCGCCCGGAGCCGCTGTCCCTGCCGGAGCCGCTGTCCCTGCCGGAGCCGCTGTCCCTGCTGGACCCCGCAACGGGCGGCTCCAGCGATGCCAACCTCCTCAACCGAGCAGGGAAGGCAATGCCCTACAAAGGGCCCGACCCCTCCAGGGGCGTCCCCAAACCCTCGTGGCTCACCAACCGCTGGTCGCCCAGCCCGGTGCACCTGGGCGGGCTGAGGAAAGGTAAGGGATGGGCTGCCCGGAGCTTCCCCAAGGCTGGGGCACAGTGGGGTGAGACATCCCCAGAGGGCCCCTGCTGTCCCTCAGGCTGTGCTCCTGTTGTAGATGGTGACAAGGAGAAGGTGTGTCTGACCGAGTGCAGGAAGGAGCGGGATGAAGTGGAGGCTTTCTGTGCCAGCGAGTTTGGTAGGTGGTGTCCCCCTCAACCCATAGGGACAGAGCACCTTCTGTCCCCTTGTCACTGATACTGCACTGCTACTTTTAAAATACTGTGATTAGGATACAGTAAGTGTGTTCAATAATTACCAAGTATTCAAAAAGGACCCACCACAATTTTTCATAAACATATTTACATTACCCTTTCCCTGCCTTGGGCTAGTACTGCCCTTTTTTTCTGTTTCCTCTGGAGGAACAGTGTCCTTGAGACTGGTCAATGGAACTGAAAAGAATAATTGGTTTAGATACTCTCAGATTTAACATTGAAGCTGGGTTATTTATCTCTTACTATTTAGAGCAAGTTTGATTTTGGGAATTGAGGTTTGAAATTAAAATAAAATGGTGAACCAAACAGAAAGAAGACTGTGATTCTCTCTCTAGAGAGGATTCTTCTTGAAGTTCCTTAGGATTCAGTGTCTTTAATCCTTGTGTTCACACTGATGTAACTAAAGGTGGCAGGAAACAGCCTAATATTTTTGTACAGACTTTGTTTAAGGACAAGCATTTTCTGACTGAAACCCTGCCTTGTGCTTACAGAGTTGTGAAACAGATACCAACTTTTTCTCACAGTATTTTAAGAGATAAGGAAAATACAAACCCAGTGGTAACAGATGTTTCCATTTGTAGAACATAAACACGTTAGGAGACATCTGTTTTCTCTAAATGGAGAAGTCAGGAAGTGCTTTCTACAAATGCTGTCCTGCTTTGGTTTTTACCACTCTCACACATTCCTGTCCAACATGGGCTTCACAGCAACCTGACCTCTGTGTGTTTAAGCCCTTAAAAAACAGCTCTGCTCCTAAATTGAAAGGACAGGTTGGAAAAAGTCTGAACAACAGATGAGCCAAGGTTCCAAGGCAGTGATCAGAGAGAGCTCTTCCTTGCTTTACATTTACAGTGCAGATAAAAGAATAAATGACTGAATCAGAGTTCTCCCCCTGAGGCAGGTGTAACACCAGGTGCAGTAGCCCCACTAACACAGAGCTGTTTTCCCACCCCTGCACTCAACTCTGCCAGAGCCAGAAACTGGGAAAACAGCATAAAGGGAATGTCTGAGCAACCCACTTGTGCCCCTGACTAGTGTCTCTCGGTATGACAAGGGCCTTTTATTTCAAAAGCCGAAGTATTTCATTACCAGCTTGACTTTTTACTTCATTGGGAAGTTTTACATTTGAAAATTTTACTTTGTTAGGTAAATATGCCCACTTTATATATATCAGGGTAGAAAATGGTACTGAACCCATTGCTTTCTTCCCTAAGAAACATCTCAAACCTGTAAACAAGTTTTGCAAAGCAGCAGAACTTCAGGCAATGACCTCACCAAATGTGATTATTTGAAGTAATTCCCACTGCCCACTCCTGAGCCAAAGGATTCCTGCTGACATTTCCTTTACAGCACTTCAAATTACAACCTTCACACATGCCCTGAAAATTGCCATGATATAAAATTTGATCCTATTTTCCCCTCTCCCTTAAAACAGCAGTGAATGGAATTGTTTATAACCTGGAAAGCCTGGGGAATGGAGTCCAGTGGATTACCCTCTTGGCAGACAGTGATGGATTGTACAAGATGAGTCGCCTGTATGTCACTCCTGACGCCGCCTTCTTCCGAGTTCACATCTTGGTTGTGGATACTTTAAACTGCAGTAAACCATGTCCAGACTTTAAACTTGGTAAATCATTCCAGCTAAATCCATTCTGCTATTCCTCTGCATGCACTGCAATCTCAGTCTGCCTTACTTTAATAGGCTTAGCCTGGGTTGTTGGGAAAATTTGGAAGAAAAGTATTTACTCAAAGTTGAGGCCTTTTTTCCCATCCAAGTTTCTCAAAACTTTCACAAGAGAACCAACTGCATGAAGAAGTCAGGTACCAGCATAACCCTTTCTTAATTCTGTCCCATTCCAAAATGATGGCAAGTTTTCAGGATTCCTAAAACAATACAAGCAAGAGCTTAAGCTGGTGTCTTTGTAAGTCGTTCAGTTTTCCTTTTAAGTGCAAGTTTATCAAATACAGCCTTTCCCCCGACAGTAAATCATCATTTCCACGCCAGCACCACCCCCAGGTCCCAGCAGAGCTCAGGGTGCCGCAGTGGAAGCCCCGTGTTCAGGATGTTTCCACCGGCACAACTCCACCCTGTTCCCAACCCTGGCGCCCTCGGAGTGACCCCCAGCTCATTCCCTGCGGCTCAGCAGCCCTGTTTGTCTCCTTTCCGTCGTTGCAGGCAGCAGGTACATCGTGATGGGGCACATCTACCACAAGCGCCGGCAGGTGCCCGCCGAGCTGCTGCCCGCGCTGCGCGGGCGGCTGCGGCCGGGGGACGGCTGGGTCGGGAGCGGCAGCGGCTTCGTGAGGAGATTCCACAGGAAAAGCGATCTCAGGGTGAGGGCAGCTCGCTCCAAGTGTCCTTAAGGCTCCGGGGCTCCGTCCAGGACGCGGGAGCAGCGGGATCCCCCCTCAGAGCACACCGGGCCGTGGGCAGCGCTCCCGCAGTCCAGCGCCGCCTCTGTGCTGGGCAAACGCCGGGGCCTGGAGCACGCACCGGTGGGGCTCGGCACAGAAGTCACTCCAGGGAATTCACTGGCCCTGAATTTGCTCCAGCTGCTTTCAGAGCACCAGGTTATTGTTGTTCCCCTGCTGCAGCGTGCCCCGAATAATCTGTAGTAACCGTAATGCAAAATTCTGGCAGTTTCGTCCTCAGCACACAACTGCACTTTGAACCCCTCACCTTGAACACATTAAATGATACCACAGCTTTATCTACACAGGATGTTCACTGTGCTTTCACAGTTCTGCCTAATGCATTTGATTTCAGAGAAACCAACACTACTAAGTACCATTTGTATTATTTTTGTCTCCTCAACCATATCCATGGTATTTTGGAAAATTACACCATTCTTCCAGCAGAGCTGGATGTTCACACAAAGCATACAGAAAAGAGTGTAATAATTTGAGTATATGAACACACTGAGTGAAAGCAAGTCAAGAACTGCAAACCGCAAATACCCAGTTGCATTTACAAGTGATGGTGCAGGGAATGCAAAATGAGCACAGGCTGCACACACTGGGTGTGCCAGGGCACTTTGTTCTAGAGCTGTGCTGAATGCTGTTCTTCAGGAGAAATATTGCGAAGCCTGTACTTGCACAAGTGTAAAGTTACTTTTTAAGTCAAAAAGACAATATTTTATTACCTTAGTGTGGTGAAATTGAGATGTTTGTTGTTCCCAGTCAGTATTCGCAAATAATAAGTCTGTAAAAGAAACTAATAAAATTCTCATGAGGTTCTGCTTTCACTGTCTCCTGGGTTCTGGAAGACCCAAAAACCTTATGTAATGATGTTGCAGAAAGGCACCTCTTTGTGTGACAAGTTGCCTGAGGATTTGATACATATTTATATTAAGAAATGTAAAAAATGCAGTACAGCTTAAAACCCCACATACTCAGTGATATGTGACCTGCCACAGGAAGCAGTGGCTTCTATGGAAGCATTTTCTGTTTTGAAACAAGGTGGTTCTGACACACTGTCCTTGTCACACACGTCTGCAGCTTCATTTAGTGTGACTGAAAAGCCACGGAGCAGGGGATGGGATGGGCTACACTGCATCAAATATTTCCTGACGTGGAGCCAAACACCAAGAGCAAACATCCCCTATTTGGGACACAAAAGGCTCTTACTGGAGGATAGAAATTTACTCACAGCATGAGCCTACCTAAAAAATACCATGTCTCACTTTTGGTATGTGAAAGACTTTGCATGGAACACAGCATGGATTGATGGAATTTTCCTGAGAAAATCTGAGGGGGTTTTGATTTGGCAGAAGGACTGTTCTGGCAATGAATCAAAGCTCTCGAGTGACTGGGAGGGACAGAGGGAGGAAGGGTTACATGTGCATCTCGAGTTTCTTTGTTTCTATTTTCAGGGGAAGTCCAGGGATTAAGCAGCAACTCCTCCAGGCATCCCCTGCCCAGAGCAGCAGCCGAGCCCCATTCCCCTCATCCTGCTCCAGCCCAGGGAAGTGTGGGCACAAACCCAACGTGTGCCTCCCTGGGCCTGTCCTTGGGAAGAGACAAGCACAGGACACCAGTGCTAAGGACATCCCAAGCCCCAGTTCAGTGCCCAAAACTGACAAAAACCACTGGAATACAGATGTTGCTCTGGGAGCCTGAAAAGTGATTTATCCCATGTTCTCTTCCTGTGTTACCAAGTTCTCTTACCTTTCCCTTCTTGATTGGAAGGTCCCTCCTTAAAATGTTCCCACAGCAGCTGAACAACAAATCCCTGTGTGTCAGAGCCCCACTGAGACAGGGCTGGAGCAGGAGCAGGACTGTTGTCACCAGGCTCATCACATACTAAACACACCTCCTGAACAACAACAACTCCCAGATCAAGAGGATTTCCAGTTTTGCACTTGCTATTCCAAAACCCTCCCAGCAATAACCACACTGGGAACTGGGTGGCACTCGTGTTCAACAGCTGCCATGGTAATTTTGGTACCTCACAGTCAATAAATTCCTTTCCAACAGGATAAATATGGAAAATTCTGCCGCCACCACACAGAAATCTGGGTGTAAAGGAGTAACTGTTCTCACCTTGTCTGTCCAGTTTACTTGAGGCTTTTGGGTAAGCCCAGCTTCTTACTGTACTTTAAATCTCCAATTAACTCCTGCATAAACTAAATTGAGATTGACGATAATTGCTTCAAATTTGAGGAGACAGAAAAGGAAAATCAAGCTGGCACAGCTCACATTATCCATATCTTACAACATATGACCATTTCAAAACAACTGTTGCAATAATTTATAAAATACAAAGAAGACGAGGACTGAGCAGAGATCACAAATCTTACGAACTTTATGCTTGATGGCAGGTGGGGATTAATTACAAGTGATTTATTTTCTGTAACACCATTTAACTATAAAACATCACTACTAGTAAATCCAGAGAAGTACCTCGACCTGCCCAATGGCAAGTGAACACACTGAAACAGGTTCTCATGGAATCACAGAATTGTTTGGGTTGGGTGATTAATCAGCAGCATTAAATTGCATGTATGTATGTCTTTCCTAAACAACCTGATTCACAGTTACATATGATCTGGCAAAGCCAAGACCTATATCCAATAACATTATCATTGTTTCATTAGAAACACCACCAAATCCATGTCAAACACATTACTTTATTTGTCTAGGATGATGTGTCCTATAAGGTACAAAAAAGTACTCTTCAGTTTGCCACAATTTGTTAAAAACAGCAATCTATTGCCTACAGGTAGGAAAGGTTTATATCATGTCAATATGAATTTAGGTATGAATAATAGTACAGAAATGTTGGGATGAGATGCAGGTTATGTCCCAGTGCTGTTAAAGGTGAGATTTTTCCTTGTCCCATTAAAACACAATGCTTACAATATGCAGCATTTTTTAAAACGTCAAAGGACAACATAACCTAAATGCAACTACTCTTCTTTGACTTTCAGAAGCATAAATGGATTATTGTTTCCACACTGAACAATTAGTAATTTTCACAGATTGGTTAAATGACAACAATGTATGTACAAAAACACATGGGTTTTTAGTAGATAAAATCCCCCCAGAAGAACCTGAACACCTGAGCTGGAAGTGTAAGAAAGGGTGGTCAGTAGCAACATCTTTTTTTAAGAAAAATAACAGAGGAGGTTCTTGCATAGCAAGGTGTGAGGTTAAACCCAAAAGGAGCTTATCCATAAAACAGGTAAATCCCAGACCACTGGTAGAACAGAAGTTGACTGTGAGTTAGTGCAAAAGCTGGTCAGGTGGGTGAGGAGCTGCAGAGAAACCAGGGCTGGGAACTAGACAGGTACCAGAGCAAGTCAGTCACACACAGGGAAATAAACCCTCCTCATCTACAATTTGCATCTTCTTGGGCTCTGGTTCATCCCTCATGGCAGTGCTGCCCCCATAGGAAACACGGAGGCAGCCCAGGGACACAATAACAGATTGTGTCCACATTCCCAGAGCACCTGGCAGAGATCACTGAGCTCCGGTGGGCAGGAACACCTGACAAACACCTCCTGTCCCAGCTGGACACTCCTTTGGGCACCACAAACACCTCCTGCCCTGTCCCAGCTGGACACTCCTTAGGGCACCACAAACACCTCCTGCCCTGTCCCAGCTGGACACTCCTTTGGGCACCACAAACACCTCCTGCCCTGTCCCAGCTGGACACTCCTTTGGGAACCACAAACACCTCCTGCCCTGTCCCAGCTGGTCACTCCTTTGGGCACTGTCTGGTCAGGATCACAGGGCTGGAATGCGGGCGGGTCCCGGCTGTTCCCACCCCTGCTCCTGGCAATCCCTACACTCCTGCACAGATCCCCAAAGTGTCTCACAAACGTGGCAGCGCACACTCAAACACACCTACGGCTGTGGGGAGAACAATGATCTCCATTTATTTTGTTTAATATACATCCATATTTTGAATTTTAATACAAAAGAAAAAAAATTAGAATCTGACAAATGTTTACAAACAAGATACCTTCAAATAGATTTTACTCAGTTCAGTCTGGTGCAGAGTAAATGACAAATTGTACTGTTTGTTATATTCAAGGCAAAAGAGTCTGTAGTCCATGACCACTCAGCCCAAATTGTATGCAAGCTTGTTTTTATCTACCATGAATGATAAACTCCTTGTTGATTCCCAGTCCTGTGTGTGTGCACATGTGTACATAGCAGCTCCTTTCATAGAAAGAAAAGACATCTAGAGGTCTTCTTGTACTTTTACCTACAGGAATCATGTTAAGATACAGAATGGATTACATGGAACCAGGGCTGGATTTCATAAGAAAAAATAATTAGCTGACAAATGAGGGCAGCAATAAAAAAGCGTCTTTTTTGCAACAATAAATAAATACAGTCAAAGTTTTCTGTGTGGACTTTAAACCAGCTTCTTCACTGAAGAACAGACGTGGCATTTCCATGGAGTTAAACGTGACCCCATTTACTGTATCTTTTTTCTTGCTCTCTTTCTCTCTCTCCTTCAACAAAACAGTTTTCCTGCTTCTGCCACAATAGTACAACAATTTGATCTTGACAAGAAAGTGGTGCTGCTGATTTTTATTTCTTTGTCCTTTGGACAAAATAAGCCAAGAATATAATTTGACTGTTGTGACCAATAAAAACACAGTTTACATCAAGTCTTGTCAGGATAACCTGACTAAAAACATCTGGCTCCTTAATTAAAAATTGTCAGACAACCAGATCCTTGCTCGTGTGTTTGGTTAACACGCTGAACTCTAAGAAGCTGTAGACTGCAGTTTGTTGTTATGGGACCTGCAGAATACAGAAGAAAGTGAAGAATTAAGCACCCTTCAGTTTGGAGAACACAGTTGCTGCAAGGTGTTGCCAAAAATAAATCACAATAGGAGAATTACCACTATGTCGCTGTCATTTATTTTTTTCCCCTTCAGAAAAAATAATAATTCTTGCTCTGAATTTTAAGCCCATTTTCTCTTCCGGAATACAAATATTTCAGTACTTGTAAAATGCAGTGTGTCACTGGGATATGCCTGAATCAGTTGTACTCACATATTTACATAATAGTAGTCCACCAAAAGGAAAGCAAAAAGACATTTTTAGTTTTAAATATTTATAATAAGGTCTACTTTGCTTAAATTTATTCAGTAAGCCTCTGGATTAACTTAATAGGAAAAAAAACCTGAACAGGCACGTTAAAATCACATTTTTGCTAAGCAGAGTTCAGCAAAACTCCTCTTTGACATCCACAGTTTTATTAGTGACTTAAACTAAAACAATAAAACACAAAGTTTCCATGATGAATTTTTCATTTTTCTTGATACAGTATTTGAGGAACAGCACAATTTTTTTGTTAATACAGTTATGTTCACCAGTGTGACTGCTGGCAACAAAAACAACATTTACTTTTTGGACAAATGATCTGGATTTTTAGGGCAGTTTAATGTCATTGGATTGTACAATAAAAGAAAGTGACCCCAACATCCAGTTCTGATTCCAGTTAAAAAGTTCAGACTAAAGATATCACAATCTGCAAGAAAAGAAAGAAGACGGATGGTATAAATGAAAAACAAGAACAAATAAGATGCAGCAGTGAAATCAGTGTGCAAGCACAGGGAGTGCTGGGGCCCCAGCTAATGGCAGTGACACAAACATGAGTTGAAAATTACCTGACAAAAATTATTACAGTATTGAACTGAAAAGAAAAATGCATATTCTTTTTCAGCAATGTCTATGTAAGGGAAACCTCTACATCAGCCCTTCTTCAGAAAAAAAAAATTAAAAGTTTAATTTTGAAAGGTATATTTTGAATTGTTTCATTTTCCATACCCTACTTTAAACCTTACTTACTGCCCTGTTTCAAAGGTGGTAAATGATAAAAAGATGAGAGAAGGAGTAACACTGAAGTAATTTAATTTCTTTCACTGAATTATAAGATTCACAGCAGGATTGTCTCTTAATTAGCATGAGAAGTATTTACTACAGAATAGAACATCGGTACCACTCAGACACAGTATTTGCCCTGATCAGAAATTATTTTCTGCAGCAACGAGTTGACGTATCACTCAAATTTTGCAAATTCATTACACCACCCAAATTTTTAACAGCTCCTTTTGAATAAACATTCCAAAGTAACCTTCTTGAAATCATATTTAAGCCTTAATTTTGACAAAATTTTCCAGGAAAGTGCATGGAGTGGTAAATCCCTGTGCAAATACAAGATAAGCTTAGAAAGGAGATTTCAGGGGCCAACACAACACCTGTGGTTAGGAACACTCCAGCTTACCTGCTTGCCTTAAATCCTTTTAGTTTCTGTACAAAGAAAGACTCGAGAACTTCTGCACACTGGTAAAAAGGGGAGTCACTTGGATTGTAGTAACGGCAGTTATCAAAAATTTTGGTCATGTCTGCCACAAACTCCGTGACCTTTTTGTAGTAGCGTTTCAGGATTCTTTCCTCCATGGTAGCAAGGTCTTTAAAGAAACCAAAGATTATTTAAATGAGAGACTTTCATCCTAAACAGGAATCTACATTGTCAAGACTGTGGGAAATAAAGCAGTATTCAGATTAGGGGCTTTCTCAGGAATGCTGGTTGTCATTGCAGGTCTCCTTCAGAAGAGACACTTAGGCATGAATGTGTTGTGTGCAGGAAAATTCAGTAACACACAAGAATCACCAGGACTAGGGGAAACCTTTGCAAGGAGCTCCCACTTTTTCTGAAGAAATGAAGGGACAAGAAGGTCAGACAATTAAGATCCACGTACCATGCACATGTAACAACCATCACCTACGGATTATTTTTTGAATTCCTGCCTTGCTTTGAATGAACTACCAATTCTCATGGCCATGTGCACATTACACATGGCACAGATGAAAGATTTTAAGTATAGAGTCATGCAAAATGCCAGAGCTCTCATCCTTACTGACCAGACACATTAAGGAGACAGGAAGGGTGATATGAGTAGCAACTGTCCTATTTTAATGCAAATATCAATTAAAAACAGGGAGAGGAACAAAACCTCTCAAATATAAATACAGCTGTGTAAATGATTAGTGTTACTTTTAGCCAGAAAAACAACTATCTGCCCTTGGAAAATGCCTTGAGGTGCTTATTTTGAAACACCAGTGATGCCAGACTGTGTGCAAAGAACTGCAGGTAGGTCTGGATTACATGGTGTATTTTACCCAGATTTAATTGTATTATAAATGTCTTCTCCTCCTACTTAAGTCAGAAAGGGCTAAAAACACTTTTGTCTGCTCCATCAATAATACTGTTATTTGAGCTTTCCTTATAAACTTTAACCCATCCATCATGGAATAAGAGCTGTTCAGCAATGTTATAACAGCACAGTCCAAAACTTTAGAAAAGGAAAGGACACAATCCCTAAACAAAGTATTATTGTCAGTCAGCATACCACAACATTTTGCCAAGATACTAAACTGAACATTCCTATTTCTAGGATGAGTAAGGAGCAGGTGAGAAAGCTCAAATGACACACTGGCTCTCACTGAGAGATCTGAAAAGGTATTGGTTCAATACCATGGAAAGGAAAGGAGTAACATTCCCAAAACCATTTCTGTCAGGAGGTAGATTTTCCCAGGAGGTTTCACATGCAAGTGCTTATCCAGTTTTAACTGGTGAGCTCTAAGAAGATGAGAATAAAGCACTGGAAAGCTGCAGCATCTCCCCTTCCACTTTGCCCACTTTCACAACATCTGAATCCTTTTTTTCCCTGCAACTTTAAAGACAAATTACACATAAACCAAAATTTACTATACTATCAAGTAAGATAAAGATAATTTTGAACTCCATCTCTTAAGGTGCATGTCACACTTCCATATCATCACCTCCTCCTCAGCCTCTGGAGTACATATCCCAACCTTTGGAGGAGGAGCTCATTACAAAGACAGAAGAAAATTGTCCTCTTTAAATAAAGAAATTTAAAAACATGAATTCTATCCTATTATTGCACTGATTTCCACATTCATCTGTAAGACTGGCAGTATTTAGGGTGAAGCAGTCAGCCTAAGAGTAGATAAAACAGCCCTCATGAACTTCTGAATGTATCAGTGAGAATCACAGTGTTTCACCTGCCTAACCTGTGTGTTTGCAGATTATGGCTGGAGTGATCAGCAGGAAATTAATGTGTTATTCTAAAGCCCAAAGTCACTCACTCAGGCTGTTCTCACCAGCACTTACCCATTGGTTCTTTGATGACACCATAATAATCTGGGGCATCGTTGGGATCTACTGGTTCTAGGAACGGCCATGCCATCTTGTGAGCCTGGCAAGGAAACAGGAGAGGATGACAACATACAAAAACATACTATTAAGTTAAATTAGGCATCCTAATAGGTAAATATTTTCATCCTTTTATCTCTTGGGGTCTGGAGTTGAATCTCAGGAAGAAGTGCAGCATTATATGAAAAGGAACCATCATCTGATGACTGGGTAAAGTTTTAAATGTCAGTGACCCAGCAGTTGGGCTTCAAAACAGGAAACTGAAATTCAGACATAACAGGATACTGTGCTGAACAGGCTGCATGGAAAAGTATGGAATGAATTTACTGAGAGAACTTTCAAGTATCCTGAAATTAATACACTTTCATAAATGTCTGTAAAACATAGGACAATGCAAAATATTACTTACAGGATTTCTGTTATCATAATATTAAGAATTTTACCAGAATGCTTAAAAATTCCTTATAGCTGTAGCAGAAAAGCCTATTTGGGAGCGACAGACAAACCAGAAATATCAGACAGTGTACATAATTCTTATTATGAGGATGCCATCATTTACATGCTGATAATGATCCCCTGTGAGAACACTCCTGAAATCTGGTAACACTCCATTAAATTAAGGAAGTGTGGATTACAACCCACAGTAAATTGATCTGAGAACAGAACACTGCACCTTCCAATACCCTGTGCAGTTGTACTCCCACTCTGCCTTTTGGGATTCTAAATCTGCTTCCTTTAAAAGCCTTTCACTGCTGTGATTGTTGTTTCACCCACTCAGGAGCAGATTTATTAATAATTGTAAATATTCCACAGCACAGTAACACCAAGCAGGTTTGCAGCTGACACAGTGGCACAGCTTTGCTGTTCCCAAATCTCAGAGCTAATAAGGAGAAATCACCCCTTCCTCCCAGACCCACTGGGTCTGTCACAGTCCCTGGTGCTGCCAGCCTTGTCCTCACCTGCAAGGAGCGCAGGACCCTCCTCAACCCTTCATAGTCTTTATCTGTGAGAGGACTGAGCACAGTCATGGCATCCTCTGTGGACTGGCACTGGGGACACACGTACTCATCTATGAGATCTGCCTCGCTCTGCAGGATGCCCACGCAGCGCCCGTGGTACCAGTTCTGACATCGGTCACAGCCAATGTAAAATCTGCAAGAGCCAAACCAAATGTCAGTGCCTTCATCTATTTCAAGTCCAGGTTACATTTAAACACATACACCTGCCATCCCCTGCACACAAGCAGATACTTGGCATGATTAAAGACAACAGGTAACATCAGATTTCAGAGTGACAAACTCTACTCCAACTGCTTTTGTATTTACGGACCACTTCAAAACACATTCCTGAATTTTATACTTTCAAGCAATCAGGATTTCAAAAATAATTCCTCTGCTTTAGAGATGAAAGGAACAGTGTAAAGCCAGAAGCCTCACCCAGCCAGCATCCAAACCAATTCAAGATGCATTTTGCACAAACTGGACTACAACTAGGGCTTGTTTCACTCCATACAAGCACTTTTCATATGGAAGCTTCAGCCTTGTAACTGAATACAGAGGGAGTATTCTATGACACAAAGCCTTACAGTAAAAGATGCATATAATTCACACATATATGATCATATACCAACCACATACCCCCCCCATGCTAAAATTATATTCTCCAGCCAGATCAGATTAAAGCACAAAAAAAATCCACTAAATACAGTATTTGTCTTTTAGTCTTTCTAACCATCCCGTTAAATAAAATAAAATAAAAAAAATAAAATAAATCCCAATTTAAAGTACATGGTGTTTTAGTAGATTGTTGTTAAAAATAAAAACCACAATACATTTTGACTGCCCTGAGGGACTTGACTTTTCCTAAACATTTACTGAACAGAAACATTTGGGAGGGGGAGACAATTACTGGAAAGCAATTTGTATTACGAATGAATACAATATATGCAGAATAACTCGTTTTTTACTCTTTGCAAGGAACAGGAAAGCACAGTCAGAGCAGTTTTGCTACCTAGACATGGAATAAGAGGTTCTTATCCGAACTCACTGCGACTCATCATAAGGTGTTCTGCAGATACAGTACAACTCCTCACTGCTGCCCTCTTGTGCCCGTTTACACTCATTACAGATGTACACATCCATTTTCTTAGCCTCCTTTTCTGTGATGCCAACACATTCTCCATGATACCAGTTAGTACAAAGATCACAGCCAATATAGAACCTAAAAGTGTTCACAATGAAAATGACAATGTAATTGTCATTTCAAATGGCATGGCACTTTTCCCTGCATTTCTCTCTGATGCACTTGATGCTGGGCTACTTTCTGTCTCAGCTTCCCTGCTCCCTATTCCTTACATACTAACATCTCATGCTGCAGCTAGACTGGCAGTAAGGTCACTTGGGTCAATTTTAATTTGACAATTCATCAAAATGCACATGTATTAATATGTACATATTAATATGTAACCAGACTTTGACAAAACTATGGGCTAAAAATCTACTGACTTCAACATGTGTGTGAAAACCTGTCAAAGGCACAAAAAGACAAGGCCAAAGGAAAAGGTTTACATTTTCAAAATTGCAGCTCAAAAGCCACATAAACACTTCCTTAAGGTTCGAAAATGTAGCTCTCAGTTAATTTAAAAAACAAAAGCAAAGCGCAAACACCAACTAAGAGTTACGAGTACACTACAAGAACATGCAACCAGCAGTGTGTAGGTACATCTTGGTGTAACATGATACAAAAGAAAATTGGGTCAGGGCATGATTGTCAATTTTAAATCTTGGTGGTTTCTTTTTTTTTTTTTTTTTTTTTTTTTTTTTTTTTTTTTGGAGGGGGTATGTGCACTGAAAAACTGATAATAAACTACTTTAAACTGTGACAAAGTGGAATTTTGAGTGAATAATGTCTCCTCTCAGACACAGCTGTGTGACAGAACCAGGTATGGTATGACACAAAGTGAAGGGAACCAGGGACAGAATCATGGGGATGGGACCTTGCACAGAATGATGTGACAAAAGTGTAAAATATTATGCCAGGATGTTTGTAACTCGTGTATGGATCTCTCAGAACACACCTATGACCAGTGACAACCGGATGGGTGACTCTCACATCCATTCTCTCTGCCTAAGCAAAAGCAAGCAGACTCAGAACCTCCATCCTCTTGGATTTTGGAGACCTCAACCCCCTGCCAGGTAGGAATTCTCCATTCTCCTGGATTTTGGAGATCTCAACCTCCCCTGCCCCTGCTGCTGTAGGAATTCCTGCCACCCTGTCAGCCTGCAGGCAACACCCTGGGGACACCAGAGCACCAAGGGTAGTAGCTACCCCATGTTCCACAGGAAGCATCTCTGATGTCCTGGGCCTCTGCACACATCCTGGACACTCAGATCTGCCTTTTCTCTTGTTTTTCAGGCGGGCGAATCCTAAAATAAATATCACACAATTCAATTTCCAAAAAGAATGGCTACACATAGATTCTGGCAACTATCAGCAACTCAGCCTGCACCCCCTTCCCAAGAGGGGCTGTGTCTGCTCCTGGTGATGTGGGAGCCCAGCATCCAGGTGTAGATGCTAAACCTTGCCACTGGCATGTGGAGCAGGTGCCACATTATGATTTAACAAGTAAGCCGAAATCTTAGTAGGAATCTTAGAAAGATATCCTTACTGACCATCCTTGCATCAGCAAATCCCTATAGTCCTGGAGTATCATGAATGGGAAATAAACATAAGAAATCTGCAATAAAATACACAGCACAAAACAACTTACGAAGTTTTACTAAGTCAAAGAAAATCACAGGGTATTTGTAAAATACCACAACTTGGCTTTTCAAGTAGCAAACCTATCTTTTCTGAAATAGAAAAGAGACACCAGCACAAAGTGGACTATCCAATGCCTACATATATATGAAAAAAAAAGTCTCAGAAAACTGCTTTAAAACTTGAGTAACTCCTTTCCAAACAGTGAAAGGATTATGTACTTCAACGGTACAGACATCATTTGTAAGAACATCAAATTTAAAATTCACAAAAAAGCAAAGCAGCACAGCTCAATCATATTTCTAAGGATACTACTGAGTTATTAACATTTCCTTTTCTTCAAGTTTTGTTCAGTGCACTGAAGCACAGTTCTCCATTCAAGATACCAAAATTCACTCTATGACCACTGGAGTCAACACAAAGTCTAACAAACAAATCCCTTTGCTCACTCACTAAGTCCAGATGCAGTAACACACAGACTTCTGGTATCACAATCAGAGAACAGGGTCCCTCCTAAGTACACTGGGTGACAGAAAGTCTGACACAGACACAAAGTTAAGTGAGCCTGGGGACACCTCTCAGAGGTGGCAGTGACATAACAGCCAGAGCACCATTCTGCTCTTCCTGCAGCACTGGCAGTCCAAGGAGGAGCCCTATTTCCCACACTGAACTCAAAGTGCAATGGTAAGAGCTACTCAAACCAAGGTGAAAAAAACCTCAAATATCACAACTTTATTAAAAGACGTAATTAAAACCCAGAAAAGGCTAGAAGGAACCTCAGGAGGTCCCCTAGTCCTGGCCCTAAACTTCATGGAATGAAGAACCATGATCCTTGGAGTGAATGCATGGCTCCAGATCTATGGTTTTCCTGTTATCAGCCCTTAAAGTACTATCAAATCAGTTCTTATTTTTAGGTATTGACACTTGGAATTAGTTTGAAGTCAAATTTATCGTACATATATCTCTACACAGCACTCAGATGAGAGAAAACCATTACTAACTACTGTTAGTCACCTCTAGCTTAAACAGAACATGTAACACTATCCCCTGGAATCCACTGGATTCTCCACTCCAGCACTTACACCATTCCTTCACAAGCACTGTATGTAGCGTAAATACTTTTCCCCATTCACAGTTAGAATCAAACTACAGAGAACTGCAGTTTTCACTTTGTCAAATGGTTAAATATTCATTTCTCTCAACCCTGGCATGCAAATAATAACACATGGAAACCATTTCTCCCTGAAAAATTGTCCAAAGTGAACTGCAGTCCAGTGACTCGGATCCCCCTTTACTGGTACTGCCTAACAACAAAAAGTAATTTAATGGAAGACGGTCCCGAAGCTATTTCTGAAGAACATCAGCTACTTCTTCAGAGGAAATTGCTCAAACCAAATTGTCACTTGCTTCTGAGGCAGAGGCAAAACGGCAAAAGAAAGAGTAACAGAGCGGAGGGAAAAAAAGAAAAGAGTATGGGCATGTGAGACAGGAAGGTCACACAATGGAGACAGTAACAGTATCAATCGAGTATGTTCATATTTGTAACTGCTAGTGGAAAATAGAGACTTTATTCTCTACACCTCAGTGATCCCTGCAATAACTTGCCACTAGCTCCACTTCTAGCACTACCTGGTGCTACGAGCTGACACTAAACCTAAAGCTAAGGACATGCAGGAGGGGCTGTGGCATCGCTACTCACTTGGACTCGTCGTAAGGCGTTTTACAGATGCAGTAAAGCTTTGTGTCCTTCTTCGTTTCCTTTGAGGTAGTAGAAATCATTTTCTTTTTCTTGGACTTGGAAGCTGAGGAATCTTTCTCCTCCTCTCGTTTCCTCTTCTGGGAGGAGACTGGCACGGGGACAGTGGTGGAGGAGGAGGAGGTGACGCTGGCTGCTGGCAGCTGCGGCGGTGCTGGTGGCACTGGTGGCGGTGGTGGTGGGGCAGCGGCGGCGGCCGCAGCGGCTGCGGCTGCTGCTGCAGCAGCTGCTGCCTGGGCTCTTTCTTTTTCTTTCTTAATTTTAGTCAAGTCTCTCTTTAGCTCCTCCTGAAGTGTATTAAATGAATAAATAGAGGGAGGCACTTCACATGATTATTGCAAGACAGGGTTAAAATCTAGGCAAAAATCCCCAAACTTAACCAAAAATAAACAATCAAATCCATTTAAATATGCATTTTTTCATGTTCTGAACCTACAATTCACATAATATTAAGGGATAACACTCTTGGGCTACAATGGCCCACTGGCTGTAACTTATCAGAAGCTGTTCAATGAAAGAAGGTAATTTCAGTCCAGAAGAAAACCAAGAGCCCTTCAAAGGACATATGAGCAGCTTTGCAGAGATCCACAACCACAGTTTCTTCCTGTAAATTTCCTTAAATTCTCACTAAGTAAACAGACAAAGATTAACACAGAAATACTCTCCCCAGCTTAATATCAAGTTAGTCTTTGAGACTCTGTCTTACCTGCACTTCAATCTGTAGATCTTTGTCCAGAAGTGCTCTTTTTTTCAGTATTTCAGCTTTCAGCTGCTCTTTATGCTTGAAAAGCAGAGCTGAGAGCTTGGTCGCGTTCTGTTTGCTCCGCTTCTGCTCCACACTCTCTTCTCGCTTCCGTTTCTTAGCTGCCTGTTTTTCTTCTTTATCTATCTTATCCAGAATATATTTCATCACTTGGTTGCACACAATCATTCTGGGGAAGGAATAAAGGAAAAGGACATTGTGCTGACCTGCCTGTTTATTCCCAGTTGAGAACCAGAATCAATTCTCCAGTCACTGCAAGCTCATTATTGTATTTCCTAAGATGTACAAGGTAAATTTAGCAATACCCAGTGCTTCCACTCCTGCTTATTTACTAGAGCACTGCTGGGAGAGATCAAGTCCCTTGTTAGGCTCAAGAGGGCCAATTCCAATTTCACTTAAATGATCTGAGTACTAATTGTTCCTCCTTTCCCCCATCTGATTCCCAACAAAGCTTTGGGTTTAGTAGGATGAGAGAGATTTTTGCTCAATTCAGTTTCCTCAATTTGTTTGAAAAAGAGCTGGATTTTTTTATGCTGATGTAGGATGAAAGTGAATTGGAAGCCTGTAACTTCTTCAAAACCAGATATGTCTACACTCCAGTGACCACAAAATACTACCAAGATTTTGTGTTTTGGCATATGGACTGACAAACACTTTTCACTCTATAGAATTCATTATAAACAGTTCCCAACTTCTCCACTAATGACAGCTCAAGATAAGTTTTTCATCTGCTTGTTGTACCTTCAACTATAAATCTATTTACCTGCTCACTTGTTTTGCACCCTTTATTTATTTTGCTTTATATTTCAATTAGAAAATTAATGTATTTTGGTTCTTTTTAATTTACTTTTCCCTTCCCCATTCTTTTCCAAAACCATTAGAAAAGCAAATGCCTGTTGCCAGAGTGACCACAACAAACAACTCCCATTGAGCTGAGAGGAAACAGCAGAATAGCAGTGGCCAGGACAAGCAGCTGGCTAGCAACTCTGTGGTCTCAGGTATTTTGTCCTTTGATAGACAGCTGGAATTTGATGACAATGGAATATGTAGATAAATATTTGTAGAGTCATACAATTTTTTGAGTTTGCTCTTTATACCTGCACTGTATCTACTTGGTTTAACCTGGATTTTTCATGGACTAAAGATCCCCACATTGTATTTTTGAAGAAGAATAAATCAGTGAAATGGAAAAGCAGCTGCACCACAAACCAGGCTAGTTTGAACTATTTTTTTCATCTTTCTCTTAAATTGGACTTTTGTCAGTCGAAACACCTATTTGGTTATCTGACACCATTAAATGAAGAGCATATCCAATACATCTTTTTCTTTATGCAACTGTGAACAGTAAAGGAGTGGCACCCAAGGATAGTGTTGTAATCAACTGAGCTTCTGATTTGATGATCAACATTTTATAGAACATACTCTTCTTTTTCTTAGTATCTGACACACACTTGTGATTATCTAATTGGAGCAACTGCATGTGTGAAAAGGAGTCAAAATAATCCCAAGACAAATGACAAACACTCCAAATTTCTGTTTAGCAGCTTCAAGCATAAAATCTCTCAGTTTGTCAATCTGTCTTCCAACTCTTCAGCTCCTTCTGTAGAGTGGGATGTGCAGGGACAAGAATGGAAACACATGGCCATGATAAAGGACAAACAAAACCCAGGCTTTTTTTTTCAGCAGAAGCGTTAATTCTCCATTCTGTGCTTCTTTACTTGAGTAAAGAGCTTCAAACACAATATGTAACATTACTTAAAAACATATTAATCAAAATAAAAATTGAGATTATACTAGATGAGATTAATATAATTACGAAAGCTACTTTTAAGTGTTACTCAAACCAAGCTTATATTGCAACACTTCTTTAAGCATTTCATTATGATACCATTAAAAGATACAACAAATGAAAGATCTGGTATCTATGAATGCACTCTAATGCATATTCACCTCTGATTTTCTTCCCTCTCAGCTGGAGTCAGCATCTTCTTCTGTTTCAAATGTTCTACGACAGCATTCTGCTTCATAACCACCTGTAAGATGATACAGAATCCAAAATAAAAGATGAAAACTTAGCCAGTATTTCACAGTATTATGGGGAGAGCCAGGACATTTCCTAAGTTAAAGTGTCATTTATTTTACCAAATGATAAAATAAAGCTGATTTTATCAGGGGAGCAGTGCTTGTTTAAAACAATTACTTGAAAATTCAAAAAGAAATTGAGAAAGAAAACACCACCACCCCAGAGTAGGATATTTTGCTTATGCCAAGTTTGAACCCAGGAACTAATTAAATGTAAATTGACTGTATTTTCGCAGTGACTGGTTGTTTTATTTTAGAAGTGGTAATAGTCCATTATATATTTTTAAGCCCTGCAGCCATCCAACAGCATCACATTTCAGATACCTCTTTGGAACCTCAGTTTTCAGGTAATGGAAGTACTGCACGTGTGTTCTGTCCATCAGCTCTCCTAGCTCTGACCTATCTTTCCTGAATTGAGAATAGAGATGGATTTGTCCCAGCAGCTAATGGTAAACTGAATCAAAGTGACAGAAGAATGCAAACATGGTACAAGTGACTTGATGTCCTGAATTAACTTGGAACATGTCATTAAATTGCCAATAGCAATCGTGCACTATCTTTGAAAGAATCAAATTAACTGCCTATCAAATGTATTAACATTGTTAACAAGACCAGGCATTTCAAATTAGATTTCTTCATTCATTAAGTGTTAATTTCCTTCTGTTAACTTTACCTGTTTCTGGGTAATGTCACTTTGATTAGAAGCCTGAAGGGTGTGCTCACGTTTAATTTCTATCTGCTGCTGCTTTTTCTTCTGCTTCTGCTCCCTGAATTGCTGGACTCTCTGCAGCTGCTCCTGCACACTAGCTGCTTGCACTGCCACCACACTGGCAATCTGCTGAGCCTGTGCTGGGCTACTCTGCTGGACCTCAAGAGGCAACTGAAGCTGGATCTGGGGCACACTGCCCTGCTGGGCTCGTATCCGAGCCACAGCACGGGGCTGCAGCTGAGAGAGGACTTCCACTTGCTGCTGGAGCTGAGGCACTGCAGTAACACTTGTTGGAGGCTGCTGAAGTTGCAGCTGAGCATGAGCTGGGCACTGCACAGGAACCTGATTTAAACTTTGAGTACTTGCAAGGGTTGGGCTGGAGGTCTGAACCTGAGGCTGCGATTGCTGCAGGTGAGCTGGAATCTGTATGGGAGTGGGGGGCCACATCAGACTGGGCTGTTGGATTGGAGTTTGCACCTGAGCTGGATGCTGAGCCTGGGCCTGGCCTGGGGGCAGGCCCGCGGGCGGCGGCTGCGTCGGGCCTGGCGCTGGCGAGAGCCCCGGAGCCTGGGCTGGAGACTGAGCCGGAGATTTGGAGGGCTGAGCTTCGGGAGGGGCTGCGGGGTCCCCGGGAGCCTCGGGCTGGTTCGGGGCCTCGGGCTGAGTGCCCTGGGGCTGAGCCCCCGCGGGCTGTGCCCCCGAGCTGGGCTGGCCCGGGGGCTGCCCCTGCCCCGTGGGCACGGCCGGAGCCGGAGGCGCCTGCAGAGCCGGCTTCGCTTCCCCCGCAGCTGTGAACACAAACCAGGAGTCCATTAATGGCAAATGGCACGGCTAGGAGCCTTGATAACCCAAACCCGCCGAACTACTGCAAAGCTCTGCGCAGGAACTCAACCACAGACTCTGCAATACACTTCCAGCAAACTCACTGCAGTAACAGACAACCTCCAACTGCATAAATACCCTCATGCAATTGAAATGGAAGCTTTTTTCTGCTGAACAGAACACTGCTTACCCGAGGTGGAAGTAGAAACGGTGGTTGTAGTTGTGCTAGCTGTAGTAGCAGCTGCTGGTAGTGGGGTGAACAGAAATCTCTGAATTGTACCATTTGGCATAGCTGCTTGCATAAGCTGCTGTCCTGGACCAGGTATTACAGTCACACCCTGAGGGATTAATTGTAACTGACCAGTAGTTTGACCTTGTCCCTGAATTACCACAGTTAAGCCTTGACTGCCACCCTAAAAAAAAGTTAATATTGATGTATTAGTGATGTAATTCTTAGACAGGCTCTACTGAACATCAGAACAATCAGGGGTTTGGATTTCAGAATTCAGTATTTTTATCATATACCATACTCCTAAAACCCAGAACTAGTATCCGAGATCACAAAATACTCAAGGACTCTTTCAACAATTCTATCGCCAACAGATGACTGGGCTGGAGCTACACATTTTGTGAACCCACAGAACACAACACAACGCTGAGTCTTTGGTGTAGAAACTCACTGAATTACAGAGTGGTTTAGGTTGGGAAGGACCTTAAAGCTCACCCAATTCCACCCACACCTTCCACTATCCCAGGTTGCTCTAAGCTCCATCCAACCCGACCTTGGACACTTCCAGGGATGGGGCAGCCACAGCTGCTCTGGGCAAACTGTGCCATGGCCACTTCACCCTCATAGAGAATAATTTCCTCTCAGTCCCTAATCTAAACCCATACTCCCTTTCATCTTAAACTCCAAGTCTTGTTCCACCTACAAAAAACCTTATCTGGCAATGAGTAGTCTGTACATCACAATAATTTATATGAATTATTTATAATTTGAAGAACAGATGTTGTGGTAAATCATAGAAATTTATTTTTACCCAAAAATTGATGTTCAATTTATTTTTTGCCAACAGATCTTCATGATCTGAGCAGAAGTTGTAAGAACTTTTTCCTCCTGTGCTCACAGATACTGCAACTTTTCCTCTGAGATTCTGGATAGCATGAATGAAAACTAGATCTTCACATCAAATCAAAAGACAAGTAATCAAAATTATGATCTGAATGTCTACAAAACAGACCATACAGAATAATTACGCCCCTTACTGCTATTAAAGATTTTTTTCCATGCTGCTGAACACTCCTGATGCCAGTTACCTTACTGGGAAATACAACAGGAAGCAAGAGTTAAAACTTTACTATTAAAACTACTTACTTTGTATTTACTGTTTATTATATTTATTTACAATTTAAGCTGCTTTCAGTCTGTAATTATGCCAGTGCTCATCCTAAATGAAGCCAGACACATGAATTTAAGGGCACAGGCACTACACTGCTGAAATGCAAAGGCATGATGGGTTAGCACATTCCCACACCCAAGGCTGTCCAGTGCTTTACCTGCCCTTGTGTGAGCTGGGTGAGCTGGGCCATTGTCAGCTTCACCTGGCCCTGCTGCGGGCGAGGGGGCGGTGCTGGGGTCTGTGGCTGAGCTTGTTGAGGGGCTGTTCCAGAACTTGTGATGGTTTTCTGCCCAGTGCTGGAAGAAGCTGTGCTGGTGCTAGAAACTGCTGTTGAGACAGGTTGACCCCTGATTATCTGAGTCACCACTTGCTGGGTCTGACCTGTAAGAGAAGAATTTGAGCTAAGAAACACATTTTCAGCTTTTTAACCATAAGCACAGCAAACCTCCAAGTCACAAATTGCAATGGACTGTGATGGTGATCAGACAGAGGAAGCAAACACTGCACTTTGCACATAAATTTTTTTTACAGACCCTTTGTGTGATGGAAAAAACTCTGCAAAACGTTTCCTATTTTAACTAAGGTTGCATGCATATGGAGAACTTCAAAAACACTGTTTTTTCTCTTTAAGATAAAACATACAAAAAAAAAGGCTTTCTCAATGCGCAATTACTCTGTATGTTTTTAGGGTTTTTTTAGTTTTGTGGGTTTTTTTTTCCCCACCAAATGAATGGACTTCAAATTAAGTACTACATTTCCCAGTGTCAATGATGAATAACATTGGCAAAGCCTCCAAAACATCCAAAAGCTGAAAAAGGCATAGTCAAGCATCAAAATGAGGGATTTTTGCATTGGGACACAATGACACGCAAGGAATTCATGAAGAAACAAACCATGGATTTCACACTGGGATTTAAAATATTAAAGTGAACCTACTGGCTGGCAGAATACCTTGTTGCACCACTACAGGTGTTCGAATGATGGCCTTGCCAAGGGTGGACTGCTGCAGCGGTGTCCGGATCACCGTCATCCCGGGGCGCAGCGGTGTCCCCTGCACTACCTGCACACCAAAGAGGAGACCACCTGTCATCTTGAGGAAAAAGCCCCTGGAATTATGTTCTGAATGGTTTTCCATGTGTGTTTTAATTTTTCCAACCGGAGGGAACTCTTGTACCTTGTTAGAATAAAGGATCCATACACACCATTGCTGAGATGAGCCAAAACCATGAGAAAATGATTAGCCAGAACTTTTAATATCTGCCAATAACTTAAAGTCTACGCATCTACATTTTTTTTTGAGTTAAATAACCAGAAAAACATCTTACTTGTGAAGTGCTTGTTGTTCCTAATGTCCCTGTGGTGTTTGGCCTAATGGTTACAGTTGCTGTCCTTGGCTGGAATGAAGTAAAGGTTTGACTTGCACCTGTAGTTGATGGAATGATACCCAATACCTTTTGCTGAACTTGAACCACACCTAATTAAAGAAAAATTGAGAATTCATTAATGGCATAATGGCCAGCAAAAGAAGTAAATGCAACTCCAGGGTGGCATTTAGAACAAAAGTCTTCAGGTTTCTAGAATACCTTTGAGCCTTTCAACATTTCTGGGGAAAGCCTTTGTCATATTGTAAAAAGAAGCAGCATTATACTTTGTCAATAGTCCAACTACATTTTAAGTTAAGAAACAGGTATTTTAGAAAAGATTAAGGAAAGCGTGAATCTTCACAAAGATCAGTTTGATGGTAACTGCAAAGAAGTCCTTGCATTGACAGAGCGCCACAAATTAGTGTTATACAACCATTAAAAGCTATAATCTGATTAATTTCAAATGTAGGAGAGCAGTTTATACACCTTTCACCTACAACACTGTGGTGCTGAAGAAAACGGGCAATGCTTCTCCTGTCACCTATGAAATTTCAATACGACATCTGCAGCCTTTACGATGTGCTCAGATGCTAAATATAATGGAGACAGAGAACTGAGCTTTTTCTGTTCAATAAACATTCACAAATCTCAAAATATTAAGTCCTCTTCTTGAGGCAAGAATCAAAAATGCTAATCTTAGTCTGGAGCCAAACTCCTGCTCATCAGTGAAGAGCAGCTGTAGGCATTAATATTTTTGTGAAGAAAGTTGCTTTGTTGATTTAGATTAAAAAAAAAAAGCATGCTTCAATTCCACATTGTTCCAAATAAAGCTCCTAATTTTGTGCTAGGAAATGCAGAATACTTTATAAGCAAAAAACTTGCATTTTTCCCCTTACAGACACAAATATGCAACACAGGGGGAACAAGTTGTAGAAACTTGTATTTATATATATATAAAATATATGTTTTTCCCCCTTCATGTCATAGTTTACTTCACTGGGAAAATAGTGTCAAAGGAGAATTAAACAGCAAGCTGGAATACAGTTTTTATTCAGTTCCCTTTGCCCTACCTCCTTGAGTTGATGGCACATTGACGGCAACAATCTTGCTGTTTGCAGGGAGTGGCAGCTTAGTTATCACTTTCCCTGCCATCGTTACTGGGCTGCCTGAGAGCTGGAAGGTCTGCCCTGTGCTGGCAATGGTTGTGGCTGAGGTGGCAGCTGTGCTAGTGGCTATTGAGGCACACAGAACAGGCAGGTTTAGAGCAGAATCATTAGTCAATGAAATGACTGTTTTTCAAGCATGAAACAGCAAACTACAGGGTTACTTTTACTTTTTTTTTTTTTTTTTAATGTGTCATGCTTTCTTTGGTAAAGGTTTTTTTTTGGAAACAGTATGTTACATCATAGAATGCTTTCATGAATGAAACTGGTACAAAAACTGTCAGTAATTAATGAGACAGGTCAGAAATGAGTCTTCCTAGCAGAAGTCAAAACAAGGAAAAACTAGACAGGTACAATCTGAGAAATGTCCTTCTGGCACAGCAAGAGTTAAGAGCAAAGATAACCAGAAATGTAATAATGCTGCATATCTGGAGGAGATGTGATATGTATAAAGGATGTGATGCATACACAGGATGAACTCCAGCAATGTTCCTTCCATGACAAATGATTCCTTACCTGTTGAAGACTGGCCTTGCTTAACCCAAGTAGCAAAAGTCTGATGGAAATTCTTGTTCTGTTGGAATGTTACTGTAGCTGGAGACCCCACTTTAGTGGTGAGCACCACTTTGGTTCCCGTGGGGACTGGGCCTGTCAGGGGGCCCACCACGACTTTCTGGGGTGTGGAGACTGTGGTTGCAGTGCTGCTGGCTGTGGTGGCTGCAGGGACCACACCTCCTGCAGGGATCTGCTTCTGCTGTTCCAGCCGTTTCTATTTAGAAAAAAAATGGAATAAAGAGTTAATTAGTATTTTGGGATTTTACAACATCAACATTGTCTCTATCCAGTATTGAAAGATAGAGGCCTCTGGTAGGATTTTAGTTCAAATTGTAGAGGATTGAAGAATAGGTTCCTTGATCTCCAGAACTACAAATCTGCTTAGAACACACAGCCAGAAATTTTCCTTTATAACAACTTTAAAATCCTTGCCTTATGTTAATTTCATGGCACATTTTACTTTAAAAAACCCACACAACGTATTCATTTGTCTCAGATTAATCAGAAAGGTTTAAAAACCTTTAAAAAATATCCATCTATATTTGGCTTTGACCATGCATGCATGCATCTATGTCAGTAATTGGTATATCATCATCAACACAGAGTTTACTATTAGCATTCCTATATTTAGAGCTTCCCGCACTGAGATACTGCCAGTTAGAGGAAAAAACAGACTGTATCATTCTCTTTCACCACTGAGAATGCAATTTTAAATACTATTCTTTTAAATTTAAATCCAGTTTTCAGCCTGCTTAAAAAAATTAGGTTCAAAATCCCTTACCTTACCCAGTGACCTTCTGTGCTGTAATTGTTAAAAAAGCATATTTAATCTAGAGAGCCCCTTAGTGAAGGGATGTATCAGCAGGCTCTTCTAAAATGTCAACTAATCTAACATTTTTTCCCATGTTACTGGAATTGTATCTGTATTTATCTAATTTAAATTCCAGCACTATGTTGCAGTAATTCCCACAAATCAGAAGCACTTGTTCACTACTAATGGGTTTTTGTCAGGATAGATGAAATGAAGAAGGAATATGTTGAGAAAAAGCACAGTTCTTAATAATGTATGTGAAATACCAACATGGCATTAGATTTCATAGTTTTAATTGCATACATTTAAATATAAATATATACATATTTACATATATTTAAATAAAATCATCAATGGGCTTAAGTCAGATAAGCTAGAATAAAATCAAAAGATTCAATTTGAGTGAAGCATGAAATGCAGTTGTATTCCCAAGTCAGCTGTATTCCAAGGCAGCTTTCCATCACACACAGAACACTGAGAAGCTTACCTGGAGATGGGTGCTTCCCAGCTTTCTTTAAAATGGAAGCAAATTAAACCTTTCTAAAGTGTTATAAATGATGTGGGTGAAAAACAGGCAATCCAGAACAAGCCTTTGCTTTAACCCTGTTTCAAAATAACAGATGTATACAGTGGCAGCAGCATTGTTTGATGGCTTAATCTGCAGTTGGAACTATTTGAGAAATGGTGTAAGCAAAGGATAACTTCATTTCCCAGGCTATGATGCATGTGGTGAGCAGTGCAGTTGCTGACTGCTGGGACGACCAACAGCTCCCCACCTGCTGGGCAGCCAAACGTTGGTGTTTTAGCTGAGCCTCCAATTGGGCCTTGAACTCCTCTGCCTTCTTCTGTTCACTAACCTTAGCCTGTTGTTCAACTGCCTGTGCCTTTTCCTTCTCCACCCTGCCAAAGACACAACCAAAAGTAAGTTATACCACCACATAAAATCCAACCATCAAACTGCATTTTGTTTTATACAGTTTAACTGCTCTCGTAAGAGCAACCGTCAAGACAGAGGATCACTGAAAACCTGGTCACAGCCTTAAAAGTATTTTGAAATAAACTACTGAAGTTGCATGCAACATCCCTGAAATGTCCTAATGCTAAACTACTGCAACACCTTACAGGAAACAATCAAAACTGGAATTTATAATTACATCTGAGACTGCAAGAAACCCATGGTAATAACATACATTTAAAATTGTTCTTTCCAAGAGACTCAAAAATGTTGTTCCAACTGTAAGCATCTTATGCATCTTATGACTTGAGTATTCTCAGGCTCAATTTACTCGTACACAGTCATTTTCTCTGGATTATAGAAGTACTTAACAAATACTGTACAAAGTCATGCCAAAAGCAGACTACAGCTGCATTACAGTAATAACCTTTTAGCATTTAATGGTAGTTGGTTCATAAGCATAGAACAATTAATATAATATTAGTTCTAACAAATCTGAAATATCTGCATACCTTACTTTTGGTACCAGCAAATAGTTCAGCTTTGTAACCTTAAGCATGACTATCAATACCAAAAGGCCCAGTAAAAACACAACACAGATGTGTTTCTAGTGATCATAGTGACCAGGTTTGTGATCTCTAGGGCAACTTTTATTTAACAATCACACAAATGAAGACTACTTTCTTTAAAAGCTCACTTTACCTTTCAGCAAATGCCCTGATCTCCCACAGTTCCAACTCCTCCTCTGCTACCCAAGTTTCCATTATAACAGGGCCTGTTTGCTTGGGTGTTTCTGGCCTTTTTGGCCTGAGGGCACTTGATCGCAGTCCCTTCCTCTGGGGTGTTGGAGTTTCTTTAGAGAGCAGTCAAAACAGACACATTAAGCTACACCATAAAACGAAATTGAAGTGTACACCAAGATTTAGTGATGTTTTCAGTCCCATTTTATAAACAAGGAGGCCTTTCAGCTTCAGATAAATCATGTCCATTTGTTAAATGCAGCATTTGTTTGCCTTAGGTAAATTAATAGTTTGTGGCAAGCTGCATTATCTCCCTTGATGGGTTGAATTAGCATAAAGATCCAGTTACCTCAATTTCTCTAGATTACAGCAGGTGGGGGAGGGAAGTCTAAACAAATAAACAAATTAACAAACAAACCTTTTGGAGCCTCTGGTACACCAATGGGACAAATGATTTTTCTTATACAGTACTCTGACCGGATCCCATATGGACCAACATCTCTCCGCTTGATTATTTCTGTTGTTGTAATTTCAGTTTCAGTTGTTTCTGCAACAAATTAGTCCCAGTAGATTAATAACAGAAACAAATAAAGCTAAATATCCAATCAACCCAATGTACTCAAGGCAAAGAAACAGCAAACAAAATTCAAATGCCACAGCTGACAGTGAACCTTTATAGAAATGTTTTGAGGGAGTGTAATACTCAGAAGCTTTTGCAAAGAGAACCAGAAATTTAAAATTACAATACCTGTCCTTGTGGTTCCTCCCCCAGGTGGAGCTTTTGCTGCCATATCATCCCACTTGAGACATGCCCACAATAACCTCAACATCAGGCTCACTCCAGCCAATGATTTGACTGTTTGGAGTCGGTACCTAATAACAGAATATAAATTATATTTTAAAATAAATTTAAAATACCAAAACAACAGGACAAAGGATTTCCATGATACTTTTACTGAACAATATAGAAAACTGAATAATAAATAGCAAAATTTGCATATTTGGGAATAAACATCACAATAAATAAACTATTACTTGTATTTTAAAAATCAATTCATTTCATCACATCCTAGACTTCTTCTCAAAAATGTAAAATATGTACCTCCAAGTGATCCCAAAAGTTGGTCTTGGGGATGGATATGGCCAGATATCCAAGGCAGGCTTTGCATTGTAATTGAAATAAGGAACCTCTCTGATCCCTCCTCTCCTGGCCAGCTTTTTTAAGTCATCATTGGGTAAAACAAATATACTTTTTTTACTGCTTTTAGTAACAAATTTCCTGTAAGATGGCAAGGCAGTTCCAGAACGAGTTTTTTTGGGTCTTGTGAATTTCATTAACTTCACTTTGTCTTTTGTGGAATATTCTTTGCTGACAGTCATGGAAGTCACCAATGTGCCTTCTGGGGTGGTCAGTGAATCAGTGACTGTTGTAGTAACCACTGTTTTACTGTGCTCCTGGACAGAGATGACATCAGAGTTACTTTCTGAGGCTGGAGTGGTGAGCTTGGTGACAGTGGTGGTGGTGGTGACAGTGGAGATGGCACAGTTTTCTGTAGAGGAAACAACTGTGGTTTTCTCATCACTGGCAGCTCCAGTCTCTGCAACCTTAAACACCGTTTTGGACTCTGTGGACACAGTTGAGGTTGTGGTAGTCACTTCAGTAATAACAGTTTTCATTTTACTTTCTCCATTAATATTTTCCATTTTATATGTCTGTACCCCGTTCTGGTCAGCAAAGTGACTGCTCAAGCTGGATTCCTCACATGAGGTTACAGGTGATGGAGCATCTTTCTTCTCCTCAATTGCTTCAGTTTCCATAGATTCTGTTTCACTGCTCAGGTTATTTTCTTTACAGACAGGCTGTGTTGGCAGGGAAGCACAGCCAACACTGGCAGATCTCTCAGGAGAAAGCTGATTTTCTTCAGTTTGCTGCACACACTTGGGAACTTCATCTGTTGGCTGAAGAGTCTCTCCAGACTCAGGTGAACTCTGCAGATGTGACTTTGAGTCCACGTTCTTTTTATCCTTTGTGTCCTCTCCCACGATGTCACCATTCATGAATGGTTTTACTGAAGATTCCTTAAAAGTTAATGGTTTTATTTCATGTTCTGGAATGGATTTATTAATATTATTAACTTTTGGTTCAATATCACCCCCCGCCTTAGCTTCACAGGTATTTTTCACTAAGCAGGCATCATTTGATAATGCTTTAATGTCATTGTCTTTTCCATTCATCTGAAATGATGATTTTTCTTCTTCTGTCTCAGTTTCTTCATCTTTATTATTCTTTTTGTCAGTAATAGTATTTACATTTGTCTGATCAAGATATTTGTTCATGGCATCTGTGTCCACTTTCAGTTCCTGACCTTTATTTTGACCATTAGCCTCTGTTAGTTTAGAGCTCAGTAAATCCTCGTTATCATCTTCTCCATCCATGTGTTCCAGAGTTTGGCTTTCAAGGTCTCTTTCAGAAATCAGCCCTGTTTTAAATGATTCTAGATCTTTATTTGCTGATTTTTGCTGAAGTATCAACTTTTCAGACTTACTTTCTGTCTTCACAGGAGCAATTTCTTCCTCCATTTCACTTTCTTGAGAGGATGTCGTTTCCATATGGCTTTTAATCATACAATTGTTTTCTGGATCTTTGCTTTGCTGTTCAGAATTCCCTTCTGAGTCTGCTTTTTCAAGAGTGCCCACAGCTTCTCTTCTACAGCTACTTTCAGGTACCACTGGTCCTAAGTTTTCAAGTTCTCGCTGAGACACTCTGGTAATAGGTAGCTTTTGCTTCAAGGGTTTTTCATTTGTTTCTGAAACATCCCATTTGATTCTGCCTTCAGCACTGGTTTGTTTCAAGCCATCCACTAAAGAGCTCTCTGACTGTCCAAGAGCCTCTTGTCCTTGACACTCATCAGCAGTTGAAGGCTCAGGGTTGTTTTCTCTGCCATCATTCTGAACAGAGCTGTCTCCTTCAGAGCATTGAGGGGAGTCTTCATCCAGCAGCTGCCCCTCTTTTGAGAGCCTGTTTGACAAAGGCAAAGAAGTTTCATCTTCATCCCCAGTTTTGGTACAGGAGATGCTGCTGATGGGCAAACAGTCCTGTTCTGCATCTTCGGCTTGGGTCTTGTCTGAAGTGTAGCTTTTATCTTGGGAAGAAGAGTCAAACTGGCTTCCTCCTTTCCCATTCCTGGTTTGTAGCTCATCTGTGTTTTTCTGGGGGCTCACAGATCGAATGCCCCCAGTTTTAGCACCAGCCTCCAGCTTAATCTTTTCTAGACGCTGTTTTTCTTCCAGTGTAAACTGTTTTATTCGCCGCTCCAGGAGTCCATCTAATTTTGATGATTTTACTTTCCTTTTGTAGCAAGTCCTTAAATGAAATCCCTCACTGACATTGATTATATCCCGCTTACAATGACTTTCCTCATCTTTTATGGAGGATTCAATTTTCACATCATCTACATCCATAGGTTCTTCTTTGATGACTTTATCATTTTCACCATTGATGTCTTTTTCCACTGTGAAGAAGAAGTAACTCTGAGTCAGTGAGCTCCCCAATAATGAATACAAATTATATTTTTACATTAAGTACTAAGAAATAAATGGGGCTTTTAGCATATTAAAAGATTTCAATTAAAAAAGGAACAAAAGCTTCAGACACTGCTACAATGGATAACAGGCAATCATTTTACTGAGACATTTTAGATGTCTTGACAAAATCTGTTACACAGTTTTTTAATAGTCATTTCTCAGGTTCTATGCTTTTACTCATGCAATAACATGAGTTTCACAATAACAAAAGGTTATCACCTGTGTCTTTTGCATACTCTAAGTTTTCAGAAATTGTGTCAACTTCTAATTTTTCTTCACACAACTTTTCTTCTTTTACTTGGACTTTCTCCAAGGTTTCTGAAACATCTGCTTTGTCTTTTGCTTGCAGATCTCGAGAATCCTTTGCTCTGTCTTTCTCTGGTTTTACCTTAGTTGTACCTTTTCGTTTATCCAAGCTGCATTTCTCATCTTCGCTCTTTGCTAAATAAATTAAATTATTTCAATTATCCAGAGTATTTTTTGTAATCTGCCACATTTGAATGCATGTTAGTTTACCTCTCAAATAATTTGCATACCATTAGTGAAATTCAGAAAGAGAATTAAGCATCTAGTGATAACACCATAGATTAAACGGTGAACTACTGAACATATATATATACACCCTCTCAATATTTAAGATGTAATTTTTTTGGTTTTGATGCTCTATATAACTTTTATCTACCTTTAATTTAAATAAGGCTATACAAAGATGCACAAGTATTACACACAACATAATTGAAACAATTTAATGTAGCTACAAAATGTCTGTGTAATCTGAACAGGTTACACTGACAAGATTACCAGATATCCACAAAAGCATTGCTGGAAAATTACTCCTAAAGTCTCCTTAAGAAATATCACACAAATTAATCTGCAGTTAAAAAAAAAAAAAAAAAAAGTAACCAATGCAGACACTTACTTGACAGCAATTTTCTGTAATTTGCATTAGTATTTCCTGGCAGTTTGGGCATAAACCTGTGGACATGGGTTTTACTAATCCAACTCCAGCCACCATATCCTGTTACCCTATATTCCTCTCCTTTTTGCTTCCAAACCTGTAAATATTTTTTAGAAAGTAATATTAATGATGCTATTTGCTGCATTATTAATGTTTATAGGAGTTTTTGAATCAACCTGTATGCTTGTTACAAGTGCAGAGCAAAGAACTGCCCCAACAAAAGTAGTTAATATCTACTATAGGAGAATATAGAAGTTTCTACAGTAGTTCCCATCATATTATACACTCTTCCAAAGGCTGGATTTTTTGGGTAGAGAAGTGGGACAGACACAGACAAGATACCAATAACCCCCTAGAAGCTTCCATTAGGAAAGGCTGCATTTGCAGACCTGTATCTGCCACTCAGGCAGTGTCAATAAGAGCATGACACAGATCAAATTCAGTTCAGACCAAGATCATGTGCTTGAATACATGGCCATGGTTCCTACTTCCATGTAGGAGTAACACAAAGACATGAACACTAAGCTTAAATGAAAACAGAGAAACAGAAATCAACAGTTACTGTGTTTCCTTTGTTCCTCCCACAAAAGAAACCCTCACCTGGTGTTTGACAGGAAATGTGTATTTCACCCATGTAGCTTGTTGCATTGTTTCTTCTTCTTCTTGTTTTCTCTCTTTTTTTTTCACTTTCTCCTTTTCTTCTCTTTCTATTGCTGTCATTCTGCGTAATCTAATCCATACAGATTTAAGTGCATTTAAGTACAGCATCTTGCAAGTAAATATAAGATGTCAACAGCACATAATACCCTCCCTTTGAATAAGTTTAAATGTCTGAAGTTAAGAGGAATGCCCACTATTGGGTTTTAGGTATTAATTGTAACAGGAACATCTCTTTTTTCTTATTTCAGTGAGGCAAACACAGCTGGATGCTATTGTGTCTAACACCAGACACATCTATTTTCTGCTCCTATGACAAAACAAGAGACAAAACTCAGACTCCACTGAACAGAGTGTTGACATTTGCTCTTCTACTCTACCAAAGTTTTAGCAGCTTTGATACTGTGGCTCAGATAAAACAAATGCAGGAGCAATGACGCTATAAAAATATTGTCATGGTTTTTCAGTGTTTCTGTTTGAGAAAATACACTTTAAGTGCTGAATGACTATTTCAATTTAAATACAATTCTTACAGGCTTAGAGGAACTAGCAATTGCAAACTAAAGTAAAATTCTCATATCCAAGAATATTTTAATATTTATTAATTTTACCTCGTGTGCCCCAAGGATTCCCGCCAGATGGGCAGCATGACAACTGGTTTGATTGCACACTCCAATATAGCCAGTGCTAGTGCAAATTCTCTGGGCTTGCTGCACATCTGAACAGCCTTAATCCAGTTAGACCTAAATTGGAAAAAAGAGAACGATCTGAAAATATAAATGCACTAATATAGCTTGCCATTTTAAGAAGACTTCATGGCAGGATAAAAGCTCCTGTAGTAATACTTTACTCAAATGTACAACCCTTTTAGTCCCATCATAAACACACATTAATTTTTATTAGAGTGAAGCACAGTGCTTGGATATCACAGATTTGAAAAAACAAAGACCATTGTTTATTAACATTGCTAGTAAAACCACAAGTAAAATATGAGAATATGTATTTCCATTTATTCATTTACCTGTGGGAAGCCCAATTAGGGTGAAGGAAGGATGCTGGGATATTGTTTTCTAGCTGAATAATGGTCAGCCTCAGGGTGGATATGGTGAGAACTTTGGAGCCATGCACAGACCCGTTCCACTTGAACTCTCCAGCTGGAGTCAGGCAGAATTTGTGTGAGAGGTGTCGCCTCTTGTCATGGTCCTCCCTGTGCTGGTGCTTGTTCAAAGCAAAGGAATTGGTGGCATATTGATTGTGATAAACACGGTACTTCCCCTCCTGCCCCAGTTTGAAATAGTTGTTCATATTTCCTTTAATCACAACGTCCTTCTTGGTGCTCACTCGGGAGACTTCACCTTGAGAGTTGACCACCAGAACCTTACAAAAGAAGTATAGGAAACTTTTCAGTGAATCTGTAAAGTAATTCCTTCTATTTACTTATTTAAGATTTAGGCTTCAAATGCCTGTCTATAAAAGAACAAAAATACCCTGCACCAGTGTGTAGAAACAAACAACTGTTTATCCAATACACCAATATATATGTACTTCACTGTCTGTCTACAGAGTTAGGATATTCCCAGATCAACTTTAAGATTAAAATAACACCATCCAGGCTTCTCAGACCAAAGAGGAACCTGTTTTGCTGTTCTGATTGTGCCTATGGAGGGAGAGAGCTCTGGGAAAGCAGCTTCACTAAACTCAGGTAAGCCCTCTGTGAACCCCCTCCTTGGTACATCACAGAATTCAGACATGCAGCTAAGGAAACAAGTATCCTAGACTTTGAAAACATGGTATAGATAACATCACTGGACTAATTTGTTCGTCAATAAATTCACTAAGTGTTAACTTACATGGAAAATCAATTAACAAAAATAAAATTAATATACCAAATAATATGCAGACAATTAACTGCAAAAAAAGTCCCAACAGTTGAGCATTTTCTTCTGGAAAAACTGGGCTACTTTAAAAAACAGAACCAAAACAACAAAAAACCCAGTCATACAAAACAACTACACCCCCATGCACTGGGTCACTGTCATCACTCTGTAGAGAGCACTCAAGAGAGCAAACGAAAGGGGAGGGGAAAAAAGCTTCCTGTGATATTTCAATTTTACCATTTGCTAATTTATTATTACTGCCTTTTTTAATAAGTACCTCCATTGCCTGAAAGAAATCACTTTTTTAAACTTTTCAGTAAAATTTAGTATCCTTTAAAGAAATTAACATTTTTTGTACTTCTTTAAGTTTTCCAAGATGTGTACAAACCTCTCTGGTTTCTTTATATAACTTATTTGCTTCATTTGATGCAGCAGCAACCTGCTGGCTTTTCATCTGGCTCAGTTTGCTATCTGGGTTTCTCAATCTGGTGAGCATCCGTGTCGAGCCTGGCGCGCCCTTCCCTGCACCTGGAGAATCACTTCTCTCACCATTGGATTTCTCTCCTGTCCAGGAATAAAAAAGGCTTTTAAAACAAACTTAAGAATTGGAAGTTTTCTACTGATGTATGGAAGTTACAAAAAGAACAGAAAGTTTAGTGAAAAGATGCATAAAACGGAAGCTGGAGATCCTTATCATCCTTATTAACATATTTATCATCATTATTATTACCTATATCCTCTGAAGTCTGGGATCCCCTCTCTGCACTTTCAGCATCATCAAGAGTCTTAATGGAGTCATTCTGGCCAGAGCCCAGCTCGCTGCCACTGCTGTTCTCAACATCTGCCTGTGGAGGTGCAGCAGAACCACTGCTGGGGATCATCTGACCAGTTTCCTCTACAAAAGAACAACTTCAGTTTTAGTTTTTTCTTTTGAATATTGGATCAATGCAACTTTTTAAAGTTTTCATCAAAAAAAGGCAGATGAACATGTTTTGCTGGACTGGAGAGAAACACATAGAAAATATTAATTCCCTTCAGAGCACTGTATCCACAAAAGTGTTTTTTCTTCTGTTTCAAGCAGTTTCAACTTCTACATCTCTGAAGAACTGAAATGCATTCCTGTATTTAAAATATATTTGTATTTCATCCAAGACAATTTTTTTTTCTATAGATGCACACACTCAGATATCCCTGAGACTGTTTTGCATTTAGAATTAATAAAATTTGGTCTTCCTGAAGCATCTGATTTTCTCTCTTTCAATTTTCTTGTGCTTTAGCTGTTCCTCAGAGCACACACCTTTTTCAGTTTGCCTTGCTTTCCAATGAGTCTTTGATTGTCTCTTCTTCGGCACCTTAATTCTCAGGAATCTCACAGATTCCTGTTCCATTGCCATCATTCTAAATATCAGCCCACTTAAAATATCAACCCCTTCCTGATCTGATGGGTCTTGATATGGCTTCAAATGAGTTCCTGGTCCTCAGCTGTCCTTGTTGCTGTGTCTTGACAGCTCTGGACTTTGTTGTCTCTTTACCTGTTGTGCTGGTATTTTTGACTAAATATCACTGAATTGCAGCTACCTCGAAATAAATCCCTCCACCCTCCAAGTAGGAACAAGCCCCCATCCCTCAAAACAGCAAACCCAGCAATGTCTTCTGGGCTTAGAGCCAAAGGAAGACAGTTCAGCTGTTTAAAATCTACAAGATCTGCCTGTTTCTAGAATTCTTCCAAAGCATCAGAGATTCTGATGTTAAGAAAAGTGACAGAACAAAATCTGTTTTTTTGTGAAATATTCACTCATAGCAGAAGGATGGATCAGATAAATATTCTGGAATTCTTAGAGGATTCCTAATCTGAATGCATCTTGATTTCTGACTGTGCCAAATGGGTGACCACCACTGTCTGATCCACTTCCCTTTTTACTATGAGGAAAAATGGACCTGTTTCCGTGGCTGCTATTTGGAGGAGAGTGGAAGCACCCAAACCAGACTCTTAATAAAGATTATTATCCAAATTGCATTTAACAAGGATGGTAGCAGACATTCTCATCAGCCTCTGCATTTTACTCGTATTTCCCCCCTCTTCTGGGGATAACTGCCTCACTGATCCTGGTTCATTATCTCTCCCCCTCTCTGAGAGTCTCAAACTGAAATTTCATAGTAAGAACACAAACATTGCTGTGAATATAGGGAACCAGACATGAGGAAAAACCCTCTCCACACACTTTCTTACAGAAAAAGAGCCCACAAATATACAACTCATGTAGAAGCTTTGGAAGGAGAAAAGTACTTGTGAAAGTATAATAAATAATGATAAATATATAAGTGAATCTTTAAAATAAAATACAAACCCCATAAAGGTATCTGAAACAAAATTATAGTTTGTATCTTTTCCATTAAACCTCTACACAGTTATTTTAACTTTAAAAGGGAATAAAAAATAGGAGAACTGGCAAAAACATTTGGTCATGTATCTAAAATACATGGTTTTTTTCTTGTACATCAGGGCATTTTCTGTACTTAAAACTTATTATTATGAGGCTTGCAGATTACAGATTAATGTTAGCTTTCATTCTGTCCTCCTGTTCAGAAAGTTTATTACAAGGTTTGGATGCATTGACTTTCATAAGATGAAAAGTTGCAGACTGTGACTGCATGGAGAACTATTTCTGTAGGAGAGAAAACATTTACTACCCTTTTTTAAAACATAACACATTGAGTATGCTCACATCACACATGTTCAGACTTTTAAGAACTGAGAATAAAACTGAAAATAAAATCCTGGTAATTTTAATGGTGATCAGCTGTTTAAAACAACATTTAGTTATGTAGTAAATCCTGTAATGGAATATTATTCTAAATGTAATGTAATTTTAGAATAGTACACTCATACGTCATGTTACACCTAATCAACTCCCACTTATTCCTAAAGCAAAAGTAAGTTTGTCTGATTTTAAGTAGTGTATATTATTACCCTTGAGTCACTGACATGGCAGAACAAAACATGTTAAAATACAATAACCCTTGTGCTTATAATTCTGAAAACTGTTCAAAATTTCCAGCATGACAATTTTAATCTTAACATTTCAGTGCAATGGTTTATTCTCGCGAATGAAAATGCTTTGTTAGTAATTTACACAGTAAATGAGAGATTAAAATAATAAACAAGCCAGCAGCAAATTAGATTTGAAATAAACTTTGAGAGGATGCTAACAATCATTATGGATCACTATGGAAAAACAAAATATACAGAAAACAGAAAATAAAAAGCTTAGCTATAGTCGTCTTTGGAAGGCATGGAAACAAATGCTAACGTCATGGAGGACCACAAATTTCAAGCACTAGTTGCAAGAAAATTAACTTTGAAATGTTAATAATGACAACGTAGCAGTAAAGGATGGCACTGCAAGCAAACAGCATGAGTGATATACGCTGGGAATGGTTTTAGTGGACAAATCAGAGAGAAAAACAGATTCCCCAAATTACAGAGGCATTGGTAACAGTGCCTTCTGTACCTGAGAGTTCCAGAGGGAGCTCTGATGCCACCTTCTTCTCTGCCACGTTGTTGCTATCAAGGGTTTCTGACTGACACCCCACTGCGTCCTTCCCTTCAGAGCAACTATTCTCTCCTGCAGAAGGATTTGTGGTGCTGTCATCAGTGCTGGAGGTCACAGAGTTACTTTTATCCCCAAGGGCTGTTGCCTCTACAGTAAAACGCACAACAAAACTTTAGGGATGTTCTTTATTATGCCTTAGGGTGTCATTTGGCATCATCCATAGAAAGCAAGTTCAGCAGCTTTGCTTGTTTGATAATGCTGAAAACCAGCAAGCTTTTTCCCTTCCTTTTTTTCGTTATGAGATTGTATTGTCTCAGAATCAAAGAACAAACCAACTGTGAGCAGGAAAAAGTTAAAAATTGTGGCTTTCTACAAACATGCTGATCACAACCTGTAAGTGCCACCAGTACCTCACGGCAGGGTATCTAGGAGCCAGCTGTATAAAAGTAGGAAAGTTGGTGAAATTACTTAACAACTCCAACAAAGCACAAAGCAGAAAGGAACTGACAAATATCACCTATCACACAAATACCTTGGAGAATCATACAAAGAAACTACTGCATCAACACCTAAATAAATGTGGGGCTCACTTCACTTAAATTGAGCTGTTAAAGCACAGTCAGTTTCTTTACCTTCTGTTCTCTCTTTTTCCACATCTTGCTCACTGTGTGTTTCCTCAATTTTATCCTGGTCTCCAGATTCTTCCTTGTCTCTCTCAGCATCTGTCTGGTCATTATCAACATCACTTTTGGTCTTTTCTGCTTCCTCATCTCCTGTATTTTTATCTTCCACTATTTCTCCTTTTCTTGCTCTGATAATGTCCAAGATTTCGTCTACAATATAAAGCATCTTGTCAGCATGAAACAACAAACCACCTACAGAGCCACAGAGCACAAATAACATGACATAAATCCTGCTTCTGATGTAAGATAAACTAGACTTGATTCAAAGTGCAGCATCTATTCCCATTACACAAAATATTCCTACCATTTGCTGCAGAAAGGAAAGACTTGTTGCTGCCCCTTGCTTTGTTTGTAAGGTCTTCTGTCACATCCATGTGCCGATGAATTTCTTCACGCATCTCGTCCAGGGTTTTGCATAGGTCAGCTTCCCAGTAATCCTTGTCCAGGCATTCAATTAACTCTGCCAGCTGGATCTTTGTGCTGTAGTACCAGATCTTCTTATCCTTCTCACTTTCTGAATCTTCCTCTCTGTAGGAGTATTTAAAAAATATTGATTTTAAAATATTTGGATAAATGACAAAAATTGCTATCACCTGGTTTCTGCAGAGCACTATGAAATGTCAATACCTGAGTGTGAATAAACAAATCACTTGCTCATATGCACCCAGTTTAATATCAATATTCCTTTCTTGTTTCCTTCCCTTTCTTCATCCCCTCAGTTCTCATGGCAACTTCCTCAGGAAAGCTTTGAAGTCTCCTTAAAACTGGTTTGTCCAATCTGACAACAAGATTTATTCTTATTATGTTTACTATTTCTGTAACCAGTAATTTACTACTAAGTCTGAGATAATTTGTAAGTCCAGAATCCATAATGGTAGTTTCTAACAGCATATTCAGGAAAATACACAGAAAATTCGAAGTACAGAATATCACATTCATAAAATATTTTATATTGGCATCCTACAGCACCCACCTGTGAGAGCACCAGTAAGGAATGAGTCATAATACAACCCCTTTGAAAAGATCAAGGGATTTCCACATTTTCAATCTGCAGTACTCATGACCCCATGAATCCAGAATTACTGGTGCTAACAGCACCTCAGCAGGGCCACAGACCCAAGGGAGCTCCAGCAATACCCCAGGTAACAGGCTCTCCTGGAGCCTGCAGGGCACAGGGAGGATGCTCCAAGTGGCTCTGCAGCTGCTGGATTTCAGCTTGGCTTGGTCCACCCTGGAGAGCAGCAGTAGCTAGATCCAGGCTGGCATGAGCCCATCCACTCATTTCCACAGCACATCCCAGTGCTCCCCACACTGTGTGGGTGCCACTGATTGCCAGCCTGGCCCTCACCTGGGCAGAGGAACTAAACTACTGCTGCACTTGCACCCCCTGTTCCAGCACTGCAGGCCTGTGGCTCACTGGGAACCCTAACCCAGAGTGCTGACAGCAATGGGAAGCTGGCTGTAAATCTCAAAGATCTGCCTTTGTGGGGCTGGTTGCAGGTTCCTCTCTACTGGTTCCCTTCCTGTGGCTTTTATGTTAAAAATGGCACAAACTGGCTTCAGGGATTCAGAAGGACAAACAAACTTAAGGCAACTTGATTGCTGTTGATCTACTGCCTCCCACTCTGTATTTGTGAAACAATTAATATTTGCAACTCAAACAAAACACTACTGAAATAAGGTCGTTACGAAGTTAATAGAGGCAGTATTACACAAAATTCAACTACTAACTTGTCACAACCATTATTATGGAAAAGACTTTTGGTTTGAACATAAAATCTGGTGTTCTGCAAAGAAACTTGCATCTCTCTCATAAAGGCCTTTGCTCATGAAAAGCAACTAATTCTGCTTTACCCATTTACTCCTCTAAACTGCCAACATCCCATTAGTTTTAACCATACCAACCTGTTACATTTGACAAGTTTTCTCAGAAAACAGCTTATTTCAGGAAGACTGTCACATACAACACACCAAAATGTAACAGCTGAACACCGACAATCATTTAACTCTATGGAATATTCTAGGCCTGTAAACTTCCATGTCAAAGAAAAATTACTGTTTAAGCCATGTTTCCTCTAAACCAAGAGTTATTTACTAACAACAATAGGAATGACAGCACTTTCATTACTGGTGGTGAACAAAAGCCACAGAGGAGGAAGATAAAGGCAAACATCCAAAAACCAAGATGGAGGGGGAGATGAGAATGCAAGAATAGGGCTTTACACAGTGAGAGGAAATAAAAGGATGAAAAAAAAATGCTTAACTGCAAAGGACAGGGAATGGGTGCTTTCTGAGCTTTCCCTGGCAAGTACCCAAGGGAAATGGCAACTGCAAGACCCTGGCAGAGCAGCAGTTGTAAGGCTGCTGTACTCCTGTAGAATATGATGCTGTTATTATTCTATTTCTTAACTGACCAAAAAGGGAACTTGAATATTTCATTTTGAACCCCTCTGTTGTAGCTGTTACAGGATTATTTGCTAGAGAGATAATGCCATTTATACATCCTCTTATATGACCTAGATATGCAACAATATAAACGCTTTATATAGAATGAGAGAGTCACTTTGGCTGGAAAAGACCTTTGAGATCAAGTCTGACAATATATTCTCGTCTCTCCATGAGGAAAGGCTGTGCCTGCATCCGTCTGCCAGAGAAGCATCTTGTACATATTGCTTCTATTTTCATAGTGATCATCCAAGTGTTTTCTTATTTTCATGTTTCTCCCCATTAAGCAAATCTGAGACTGCTCCTGGTGCACTAATGCAGCCAGGGTGAGTATGTGTGTCACCTGAACATCCCAAGCAGCATCTGGCTTTTCCCTTCCCATCAGCCCTTTCTATTTCAGGTTTGCAAGGTTCCATTGGACTGAAAAGCAATTAACTGCTGTTTTCAGTTACCCTGGATAACTCAAGAAAAAGCCTTCAGCACCAGTAAAGGTTTGCTGTATTGCAGACCAGTAAACCCTGAGGCTCAGTGTGCAGAGCTGAGACATCAGACCACCAAGAGTATTCTGCAGAAAGCACCTAGAACTGATCCCTCCATGTGTGATTTGAGTCCTGCCCATTAAAGAACTGCTCAGATAATAATCTAGACACAGACAATGAGGTTATCCAAGAGTATTTTAATACCCTTCTACTTCATTTGTATCAGGGTTTGAGCATAAAATTTGTTTTGAGCTGAAGACTATCACAACCTTAACAAGAGAATTTCAGGAATTAAAGAGTTTTCTCTTGAAAATGCACAGATAGAATGTGGAATGGCACAAACTGATTGGTCTGTGTGCTTACACCAAACTCATCTCTGGCCACACTTCTTTCCAAGATTCAGATGTGTGCCAGGGGAAGACTTGGAGCACACAGCAGGAATCATTCCATCAATCCATCTTGGCCAACTTAGATAAGACTTAAATTAACAATTATATAATTCCAACTAACTTTCCCTTAACATCTTCTTGTGTTTACTAAAGGGACACAACAGAGGGGACATCAGAGGGGCTGTCATAAAAAGATGGAAATATCCAAGGCTGCACAAGGACCAGTTCCCAACGTTTTTTCCGGCCAGTCCAGACAGACTTGCCAGCTTGGTGCTGGACAGGGGGACTCAGCTGAGTCACACACAATATGTGAGGCCAAGAAGGGAGAAAAGAAGCACATGACTTTCCTACCTCTTTCAGCCTCCTTGGCTGCCAGGAACTATTCACTGGCAGGCTGCAGAGACAAGTTTAAAACCTGATAAAAGTGACCTAGAAGATAATCAAAACTTTCAAGTAAGGTGATATCGAAGTACTTAGTACTAGTAGTAGTAGCAGATACTTCCTAAATTCCATGATGATACAGTTGGAAACTAAAGAATTCAGGAAACTGTTTAAAGCAATCTATTCAAATGAAGACCCAAACCCTTGTTAATTAACTGGAGAAAATAGAGGAGGACCCTCTAAGAACATAAACAGCATGACAAATCTTGCAGAAAAAAAAGCTGAAACTGCTTTTGTCTGTTGAGGAAGATCCATACAACTCAGGAATAACAATGTGTGTCCTATTTCTGCTATCAAAATGAAAGCCAAACAGTGTTTCATTATCTTCTTTTGCAGATAATTGCTAAATCCAAAGCATCTCAGTATTTCTATGATGATAAACTTGTTAAAACACTGCAGCAGTTTAGAAGGACAATGCAAGTCAAATTCCCAAATTTCCTGAGTTAATAACTTGCAAAATAATCTTCACAAGTAAAACAAATGCAATTGACCCAGAAGCATTATCCTTAATTTGTAAACAGCTTGAAACAAAAATGTCAGGAATTAATTTGCTCTTGGCGTGTTTTTTGTTTTAATCTTGTTGATATTTGTTCATGAGGAGACTCCTTCAGTGTCCATTTTTCCATCTCTGTGAAACAGAAGAGGTGGAAAATATAAACAATCCCACAATGATGGGCTTAAAAAAGGCAAGTGATGGAAATAAAAGTATCAGGGAACAAGCTTACAAAACCCTTTAAAAGGTAGGAAAACCAGCAGTAGGTTGGATTTATGACATTTAAAGGGGGAGAGGGGAGAAGAAGTAAAAAGCTCTGAAAACCCTTTTGAGAAACAAAACCACCAAGAATTTAGGATTTCAGTTCTCCAATCCTCCTGGGCAGATTTTCAAATTGGTATTTGTGCAGATTATTTTTAGATCTATTAGTTTCCTCTGATACATTTGATCACATGGCATTGGGGAATATACTCTAGTCCTTTTAATAAAGTTGATATGATAATATAATTTAATGAATCTCAGGTTTTAGCATTTGGCAGTTATCCCTTAAGTTACCATTCAGTTATCCAAGATATCAGGCAGGTGTGGTTTGATCCTGTTTAGTGTGTATATATAAATAAATAAATAAATATATGCAAAAGGTTGGGTTTGCAATACAGCATGCTTACTGAATTTGAAAAATGAAAGTACAGAGTTTAATGTCTATGTGAGTTATTAAAGTTGCATTTCCCTGGAATTAAATTGTGCACTACTTTCGCCCCCTTATGATACAATTTGCCCACAGAACACCTAAAAGTAATACAAAATATTGGTTTTTAAAAATTCAATACATTTAATTTCTGAAGATGTCTCTTCTAAGTGCAGTTAAAATTACTACCAATGTGCTAGAAAGAAACAACTCTCACACGTGCAGATTTCAAAGGATCACGAAGCACCTGCATGATTCATTTGAGTTTGAAGTATGTTGAAGTATTGCCTGTATCAAAACCTTCTGAACATCAAATACTCCACTTCAGTGGGAAAAAAACCCCATTGTTTCACAGATCAAGTTTGGTTAAAAATAATTACCTATCTGCCTACATACAGGGAGGAAACAAAGTCTGCTCATTTATCTCAAAATCCTCAGTGATGTGGATTTTTTAATGTTAATTCCCAGACCTCTGCCAGTACAGGAGAGCAGTGAAGACAAAACCATCTTTAGAACAACTTTTTCCTCAAGAGTTTGAGGGGGAAGATACAAAACCAAGGCAGAGGTAAACCTAAATTATTAAAGCACAAGTAACTAGAGCAAAAATAATCCCAGTTATGTGTCCTTTACAACCAGGCTCTTTGTGAAAATCAAAATTTCAACACATTTTCTGAAAACAAAAGGTAGGAAATTCTGTATGAAGCAATGGAATAATTGGGATATCAGCAGCTTCAGGTGCTCATCACATCCTGGTGAACCACCTCAATGATCCACCCTTACTGTGGAGAATGTAACTGAGTATAAACATGAAGCACATATATAGCAAAAAAGAAGAGAAGAGTATAAAAGATTCCCTGCATCCTTTGAAAGGTTACTTGGCATTACTGTGACATTTATAACCCAGAGAAACCAAAAAAGATCAAACATGGACTCTTTTTTTAAGAATATGAAAGAAGAACACAGGAAACAGAGCAGAGATAATTAACACTTAAAGCATCAGCTGACAATACTCCAGAGAAACAGCCCCACATTTTAAAGGAATACCATGAGCCCTTAGAAGTGTCTTCTTTGCAAGATGTAACACCATCAGCAGACCTCACAGTCCCTTTTAAACACGCTGGCTACTATCTTAACATTCACTGTAACCTGCTTTGTATGAAATTCTGTTAAGGTACCCAGCTGTGGTTTATTTTCTCTGTAACACTGAATGGAAAACTGTGTTTCTGTGTTTTGAGAGCTCTGCTAAAATCTCTATTTGTCCTAATTTAACAATACCATTGATCTTACTTAAATATTGTTTCTCCTCCACTATGAGAACAATTAGATAAGAACAGTCTTTTATGAGAAAACCAATCTTTAGCCATTTTCCTGTGAAAAATGAATTTCAGATTCAACTTTTCAGGTAAAATCCGGGGCACAATGCCCTCACTAGCAAGGGTTTGAGTCCTATTAATATTTTGAGGTATATTTGTATCTTGAGACCAACCAGTAACAAGAAATTGTGTGAAACACACACAGTACCTCCCTCGAAGACAGGCATGATTTTCTACGGTGACATTCTCTGCACTACAGAACAACGTTCAATGCAACATTTTCTGCATTTCTAGGAACAATAACTTCCTTTGAGCACCTCTGAAAGTTTCAGCTTCAAAGGCAGAGCATCAAACTGGTACCAGAACCTGGCAGCTAAACACTGCTTAAGCAGGTGACAGACCACAAGTAGTGCCCTACACACCATGTGATCATAAAAATAATCAAACTTATTTTCAGTAATTTCTACAAGAAACTGGGGAGTTCTCATTAATATTCCCTTTCTTTACCTCACATTCATGTGTTTTAGGCACATTAATATTAAGCCTGAGGTCCTGTTATTATGTCCTTTTTATGTATAGATTATAAGAATATTAATTTTGGATAAATATGGATTATTTACATGGTCTTTAGTAATCTCCTTACAAAACAGCAAGCAACAGTCTTATCTAAAGAAAGAAGAATTTTAAGATGGCAACAGCAATTTAAATATGTATTAAAACCATGATATTATTATTCAGAAACTATGCAGTGATTAGCTCACTTACATGATGATTCTCCTGTTCAGGAACCAGTATTTCCGCCTGTGCCTGTCGTATCCAATAGGTTCGTGTCGGATGTACGGTTTGTTTTTTTGGATTTCAGCCACACAGTCAGTCACTCCAGGCACCTTATGTGCCACGCAGACCTCACACTGCCACTCGTCTTCGGGCACCTCCTCCAGGGGGGGCTTCACACACTCCAAGTGGTACACGGCTGAGCAAGTCTCACAGCAAAGCAAATCCCCAAGTTTGTGACAAACCCTACAATGATCATCATATTGAATAACACCTTCTGACATTAACTCCTCACGTGCAATGTTTGTGGTAAGAAACTGATCCACTAAGAACTGCAGAACTTTGATTTTATTCTCTACTGGTCCATAAGGATAGTCCTCTGTCTCTTGGTAAGGAAGAACATGATGGTATTCCTTGTCACTCTCACAATATACCCGCAGAACCTCTGGCCACGTCATTCCATCTATGAAATACAAAGTGGAATTAACGCTATCTTTGAGGTCAGCAGGTCCAAAGGTAGTATTTGAAGTGTCTTCTTCACGTAAAACTGCTTTTAACAGCACTATATGCATCTCTGCCATAAGTGTGCACTGCTCTTGACTTACCAGAGCAGCACAGAAGTCCTCAAAACGAAAAGGAGAGAGGCGCAAAACAGTGCCAAAGTTCCTTAGTACCTCATAGATGGCAATAACATTCATTATGTGCTCACTAGGCACCATTAAGTCCTCTGAGGATTTAGGAAACTCCAAGGGTGGGATATCTTTTTCTTCCAATATTGGAGAACGAGGACGATGTGCTCTCTGTCTTCTCCTACCTGGAATAAGAAACAACAGTAAGAATTTTGCTGTTCACAGGTCAACATGTTTGAACATCTATCATCAATCACTGTGTTAACATTTTGAACTAATGCAAATTAAGGCTTCACAAGCTTCACAGTTACATAAATGTGTTAACTCAGCTAATCATCTTATACTTTAACTAACAGTACGAAAATATAACACAAGATAACTGAAGTTTTGCTTTAGACACATACAGGAATTGCATTTCACGTACAACATATATTCACTGAAGCTTTAAAATGAAATCTAGAAATGTAATTGTTTAAATTACTTTAAAAAAATTGACATTTCCTGCAGCCAAAAAATAATTTTTTTCTCACTTTTATTCAACATGACTAGTTTAAACCTGAAACATCAAGCTCCAAACAGGTATTTAGTATTAAATGATTGCAAGTTATTCTCCTCTCTAGCAAGGGCATCAGAAAAGCTCATTTCAAGCAGATGTTATATGACATCAATTGCAACCAAATTAAAATACAAAAGAGAACCTAAAGCGTGTTGCCCACTGCTTTCTAACTAGAACGTTTCTCATGGCTACCTACAAACCAACACCAGAAGGTAAATGTGATGTTTTACAAAAATATTTCAAAAATTCTCTATTTCTCCAAACAAACAAACACACACCTCTCCAACCCACTCTCATGCCTCAATAAAACAGGAGCCATATCCACAGAATGAGGAAGCAAAATTACAGAAGGACAAAGTTTACCAATAAAAGCTAATCCAAAGAGCTGTTTTACTACCTAAAAGAAAAGACACTGAGCATAATTAATTCAGTCTCAGATGTCAATTCAGATAAGATGCTACACTTCCTTCCCTTGGATTCCACTATCCTTGATGCCAAGCAGAAGGAAAAATAAAAGAGGAATGTTTTTTTAATGACACTACCTGACAGATGAAATATTTTCATCTTCTATCAAAATAACCAGCTACATGCAACTATTTCTCAGCTATCAGTTGACAGTTTTAGATGCACTCATTAAGCTTATTTCCCTTTATAGAAAAAAAAACAAGTTGAGAAAATCTCATCAACCATCATCTAGGTTTAATCCGAGAACTGAGATGAAAACTGGTTTTAGGTCCTCTTACTAAGTATACTAAGATTCTGGTCAACAACTAAATTTCAAAATTACCCATTGTCCACGGACAAGTGTCAGCAGGACACTTCATGCATGGTGAAAAGCTAAATAAAAACTGCAGTTACCCATAGCAGCCATTTCCCCCACACACTTCCTTAAAATGGGACATGTATTAAACTTTGTGTGTTCTGACACTGAAGAGTGACACAACCGATAGTCTGGAATTTTAAGATTCACATTCATAATTTCTTAACCAAATTCTGCACATAACAGACCTCCCCAAAAACTCATTCAAGGAAATTAAGAGATAAAGTGAGTCCCAGACAGCTTGGATGTTACCACTAAATGGAAATGGTTCTCTGTGGTTCTCTGTGGCATTTTTTCAACCCATCCTACTCCATTCAATACTCTCAGAAATACAGAAAATAAGTCTAATGTGGGAGAAAACCTGCTAAGGCAGATCCTGCTGAACCTGAAACAGCATCATTAAAACATTAATGCATTGAAAAGGGGAAAAAAAGCTACCAGAAAAAAAAAAAAGCCACCACTAAGAAATATCTTGATGCACAACAAATTATTCCAGAAAAATAAATCAACCCCTAGACTGGTATGGCAAGAAGGCACCAGACATAGATCTCCCTTTCCAGTGTTAATGAAATCGGGTACAACAAATTACACACCAAACAATATAGAACATGAACTGCAAGATGTTTCCATTACTGAAGTAACAAGTGAACCTCATCTGTGGATAAAAATAACTTTCCAAGTTTGAGTTCTGACTGTGGAAAGCGAAGGAATGCTTCTATGACTGTCTTCCAACATGCCTCTGCACTAATAAATGGAAAAAGTTTAATCATGGCAAACACACAAAGACAAAGGAGTTTCACAGCCAGGCACAAAGCAAGTGTTCTCTAGATAAAACTCAACTTTTCTATCAACATGATCCAAAATCATATGTGCGTAAGCTATTTAATTAAAAGACCCCAAAGCAAAAGAAGACATGCTCACACAATAAACTACTTCCTTCAACATTGCACTCACAGTTGGCCATGCAGGACACCACCACAGAACAGATATTCTGAAATCACTGATGGCCCACACAGAGTCCAAATATGACAAAAGCCAACAGAGCTATCAACCAGGATTCTTTCTTTAGCAGAAAAATGTGTGTGTCACACAGTAATGCCATGAAACAGTCCTTCAAGAAAGAGAGCGGCAAGGAGGTTAACCCTGCTTTACCTGAACTAATGAGAAGTGACAAATCCCCCTAGTAATTTTTAGACAAAGATAAACCAGAGTGAAGGTCTAGTGCTGGAAAAATAAATGGATTCCAAACACCAATTTGCTGATGTCTCTTTACCACGAGATAAGCATGGTATGGAATCACAAAATCATTAATGTAGAAAACATCTTCAAGATCAAGCCCAACCATCTCAGCCGCACCACCATGTCCTCAAGTGCTACATCCACACATTTCAGAACACCTCCAGGGGTAGTGACCTACACTAGTTTCCTGAGCAGCCTCTTCCAGCGCTTTACAACCCTTCAGAAAAACAAAATTTCCTAAATATAATCTAAACATCTGCTGGTGCAACCTTAAACCACTTGTAGATTTGTCACATGAAATTAATAGGGGCATAAAAAAAGAATTTAAAGCAAGGCATTCCTAATACGTTCTGAAAAAGTTAATCTCTAACACTTCCTCTTACAAAGGAAGCACATTGGTTCTATTACAGATCTAGAAGAAATGTGTTATCAGGATATAAATGTGTCATAATAGCATAATAAAGAATTGTACTTTGGTACAAGCACAATACAACCCTGTGGCTGCATTAGTCACACCATTCCATCTCCTACTTAAATCAATTTGTGAATTTTCATGTTTGTTTTGGTATAAAGAACAGAAATTTCAAAAGCAATAATAAAACAAACAATAGGAAAAGCAGACTGGGTTATAAAATGTGTGCTTCATTTGTGGTAGGCCTCACTGTTGCAGCACATTATGATATTGTGCACCTCAACACTCCCCATCCACACTACAAACCACACACCACAGCTCAAGAGCTCAAATAATTTCTCTTTTTGGACACTGAACTGCTCTGAACAATTCTCAACTAAATATAAACTGGTTTCCAGAGCTAAAAAAGGCAAGTATTCAAAGATGCAGAATATTTTAGAAAGAAACTGTATTTTTCTCAAATGACTTGATGGCACAGCATTTAAAATCTTTCTATGCTGGGTTTTTTTCTTTCCAATTTTACTTTCATTTTGTTATTAATATTCTCTATACTGGAGACGAAGAGAATTTGAAGTAGAGAAGAGAGCCACAAACTGTGATTTGGATATTCAGAAATTCCCAGCAATTTGTGCTTAAATGTATTACTGGCCAATACATCAACTGTGATCTCAAGAAACACTCAGACACCCTAAAAAAAAAAACCTCAAAAGCCCAAACCAACAAACCCCAAGCAATCTAATAATCTTCAGTGAAAAGGATGGACATTCTCTGCCAAGGTGCTCATAAATCTTGAAGCATTGCAAGTGGCTGCTCAACTGAAATTAAAAGTGCAGGTCAATGGAAAATATAATGATGTCAAAGTGCTACAAGTCTCTTTCTCGAGCTGAAATGTTGGTATTTTACTGGTTGGGTGGATAACCTTTCTTCACTGCTGGTTTTTCAGTGTGCTGACAACCCTCACAGCTCACGCTGCTTTGGAGCACTTCCACCTCCTGTGTGAGGGTTTTTGAAGACCACAGTCCATGTTTATCCAACTGTGTCTCATAAACACACCAAAAAATCCCTCAAGCATTGACAAATGTCTCCCTACAATAAACATATACAATTTTTAAAGCTCTTTACTCTCAAAGACAATCTTCTTTTTCATGAGGCAAGTGGGCCAATATTTAAATTCAACATTCAGTGGCAGACACAAAAACCCACAGCCCAACAAAGAACTCTGGCCACTTCAAACTAGAATGAAGTTTAAATTATTTAAGAGATACTAGGATTTGACATATTTTTTTTATTTTTTAAACTTGTTGTCACTTGTCAAGGATTTGGGCCCCCATGGAGAATTTTTGTTTCAAATTGAAATTGTAGTATGTACTATTTTGTTTAACTCCATGACCACCAAGAGGATTGTAGAGCAGGTGCACTGGCAGGTTACTTTTCCTTTAAGCACCATCACCTGACTGACCAGACTTTAAACTGAATTTTCATGTAACTACTCTAAATTCAAGAAATCTACTCTCAATTTACCCACACTGAAGTTTCCCAAAACATACTCAAGTTTTATTATATGCAAATTAGATACTTCTGAGAGTTTCTGCATCTTAACTAAGTCTTTGAATCAAATTTCACTTCCAAGTTTGAGGCAGTACAAAAGGAGAAAATGTCCACTTCTACACCACTCAAATTCCATAGCTTTATTTGGTGGAAAAAAATTTATTTGCCAATAGCCTCCTGCTGCCACAGCTGGAATACTGACAGGATCCAGATCCCCTGGAGTGTCTGAGCACTATATTTCTATTGAGCACAAGCTTCTTAAAAATGTCAAGTCCTTCACTGGTTGTCTCTCCCCAAGTGCTGAAGCAGTCTGCGGTGGTTACCTGTCCCTATTTTGAATTCTCTAGTTGAAGAGCTGCCTATAATTAAGATTAAAGAGTAAACAATTCTATTTCCATGGCACATTATAATTATCAGATACTGATAATTATAGTCTACACTTAGGATAACCTATTAAAATAATTTATATTACAAATATTTAAGCAAACACACTAATGATATTTGAAATAAAACAAAGTTACTCAAATAACAATCTGAACACCCAAAATCAGAATTTACTTTAAAAACCCAAATAATTGCTTTATTTTGCATCTACTCAACCTACTTGTTT